CACACACACACACACACACACACACACTCAGATGCCCCTTTCACACCAACGCAACTCCGGTTCAAGCTCCGTGCTAGAGCTTTTCTGGTTCAGAACCGGTTCTTCGGTTTAGCGCCGGCTCTTTTCACACCGCTCAGAGCCCGACTGGTGCTGCCGCTGCTGCGTCATGACGTCACAGTTTACGTCGCTGAGTTTCTCCCCAACGCCGGAGCTCACCTCACAACAACAACGGGCCGGGGACTGTGTTGCTTTTAATCATACGAAGCCAGATTAAATTAAATAACGACTTCTCCAACCTTATACTTTTCTCCAGAGTGCCGTGGTTCATTGTTTATTAATGTGTTTCAGCGGCATTTACCGACCGCTGCAGTGCTGGCCGGCTGCTCTTCAACGGGAGTGTATTCTCCCGTTAGCTCCGGGTTAGCTCACACGGCTCTAAAGTATTCACTGTCTGACTGTCACACAAGCAGCTGATACATATCCCCAGTTCCCCTTAAGTGAATGTGTGTCAGTCTGAATTGACGCTGTTTGGCATCACAACGCTGTTATGAAAGTTTCTCTGGTATAACATGGGTGATGTTAGCATAGCAACCGAAGCTAAACTGATTACTTGCTAAGCAGTTTTCTACAGGCACTTTTTACCGACGTATTTTTCATTATGATTCTACTTGTGATAGTCGGACATGACAACCTGTGCAGCCCATGTATTGATTCCATCCGATAGCTGCTATAATAACAAACAAAACGTCTGCCTGCTCTCCACAATGATCAATAACAGCGAACGGATGGTCAAAGTAAGGTACAAATAAACAGAATCACACGAAGCCTGGTTAGTGTTGCCTGACTTTATAAAGTGTGTTTTTTTTAACAAGTGTGTGGTTGCGTTCTAGTCACTTTGCTCAGCACTACTGCTTGTTACAACTTTTATTTGCCGTACTCGCCTTAAGTGTTAGCTCAGGTTAATCTCGCCCCCCTCCGACGTAAGCGTGACGTATGCGGTTCTTGCTTCTAGACCAGGGGTCGGCAACCCCTGGCACGCGTGCCAACATTGGCACGCGGCACCGTAACCAGTGGCACACTAGGAATAAGTCGAATAAGTGTGCAAATATTTAAATTGTATTTTCGGATCCTGAACGAGACCGCCGCCAGAGCGCATCTCCCCGTTATCTGCAGAAGGAAGCCATGCACGCAGCGCAGCCCCGCTCTGTTTAACTCCAGGTGACTTTCTGCCGCTTTCCTCCGTGGTGCAGGGCTGATCGTTTCACCACAGAGGAAAGCACTTCACACATTGCAGTACCCATAAGGAGCTTTACAAATGCCACAGTTTTTGCGTGGCTGTGTCTTTAGTTGAAAGCCCAGTGGCGATCTGCTCATCTCTCATTGAAATAATATGCTACAAAGGGGCGGACTGGCCATCTGTGTGTTGAACTTTCCTGTCGGCTCCCAGACCGTAGTCGAGGAGGGCAGAAGCAACAAGCTTCAGGTTCAATAACCCACTTTAGCTTAAATGACTGGAGAGAGGCGAGCTCTTCTTGGGAGGCCGTTGCATTTATTTAGCTGTTCTTCTGTTTCACAAAATACATCACAGACCTCTGTTTTTCTGCTGCCTCGTTTCACTTCCAGAAACATACACACGCTCGCTCACTGTCGCTCTACCATCCACACACACACATGCACACGCCACACCCCTCTCTCTCTCTCTTAAAGGGACAGCGATCTCATCTCACTCTGCATGACCCTAATATCATAACATGTGTGTTCTGGAGAATCACAGAACGGACGATCGTCCTTATTATTATGCCGTTTAAACCAATTATTTAAATGGCATCATGTAAGTTGTGCTGACAGGTACACACACACACACTGCTTCCGCGCAGCGAGGCTCCCCCCGCCCTCCTGTTGATAGTTCACCAGCGTCAAGTTCCTCAACCCCCCCCCCCCCCCCCCCGTTGATAATTCTCGATCGTTGGCACGCCGATAACAATTTTTTATTTTAATGGCACTTCATATCAAAAAGGTTGCCGACCCCTGTTCTAGACGGACAACTTTTTGGTGCTCGAAACGAACCGGATTCCGGAGCTATGACGCTGCTCCGCTGCGGTGTGAACAGGAAAACCCGGTGCTTTTCAAGCACCAGCACCGAACCGGCCCTGAAACACCGTTGGTGTGAAAGGGGTATTAGATCTACTTTACTGTGTGAGGGCTATTTAACCACATGTATTGTTGACATTTATGCTTAGTGTTGATTTTTGTTTTGTTCTGTCATAACGCCTTGTGAGGAATGCTTTGGCAATACTATTAAAATGTGGTCATGCCAATAAAGCCCCTTTGTATTGTACTGTATTGCTATTAACACTAAAATATGTGTGTGTGTGTGTGTGTGTGTAGATGATGATGCAGTCTCTGTACTGTGGAGGAACTGAGGGACTCACTCTCTCTCACTCTGACGCCATGGAGGTAAGTTCACTCACCTGTTAATAACATGTTGTAAATATATATTGACATTATTAATATATTGTTGTATACACTTTTATAATTGTACAGATAACTATATATGTGTGTGTGTGTGTTTTCTGTTTTGCAGCTGCTGCCGGTGGCGGGTTTCTTCGAGCTCAGAGGTCTGCAGAGGATCTGTGAGATGAAGCTTTCTCAGAGTCTGACTCCGGACAACGCTGTGTACATCTACCACAACGCAAAGGTACACACGCACACATGCACGCTCGCACACACACTCACTCACTCACTCACTCACACACTAACTTTCACAAACACACACACACAAACACACACACACACACACACACACACACACACACACACACACACACACACACACACACACACACACACACACACACACACACACACACACACACACACACACACACACACACACACAGAGAAAGACACACTCACAAAAAGGTCACAGGTTATAATAAAGTAATAAAAGTCAAAGTAAAGTATTGAAAATAAATAAATAAAAAAGTATTTCTCTTTTTAAATTCATAGAATCATCATAAATACATCATTTTTAAGTTTTCTTAAATACAATACTATGACTTTAATATTATTTATTTTATATAATATATATATATATATATATATATATATATATATATTCTAAACTCTTTAAAAAACATGTTTACATACTATGTTCTGTTTTTTTTATTTAAAGTACTTGAACAAAATGATGATACTTTAAACGTACTATACTCTGACTCTTTTCTTTGCATTCGACATACAGTCAGAGGTAAACCCTTCACTGTCTTTTCCTCTCTGCAGCTGCACGGAGGTTCTGCTCTCTGCCGGTTCTGTGAAGGGTTCTTCCTGCAGAACCTGGAGGTTCTCCTGCAGCGAGACGACTTCCACCGCCTGCTGCTGGCTGTCGTCGGGCAGAACCCGAGCCCCGAGGATCCCCCCCCCCTCCTGAGGGTCCTGGAGACCCTGCTGATCCACAGACTGAGCGACCTGCACTCTGCCTGCCGGGGGTGAAACTGCAGACTGTGTTAAAGACGTGAAGTGTGTGTGTGTGTGTGTGTTTGGGAAGAGCAGCCATATTCTGTGTTCAATCTTCTTATGGAGATGACTGTAATGTGTAGAAGAAGACTTTGGGAATTCCCTGCTATTTATTAATCTGAAAAAAGTGAACGTTTCTGCAAAAGAGGAGAATATCCAAAAACGATACGATAGAAACAATATTCTTTGTTGAATTTCCTGTTTCCTGTTGCTTTTTATCATTTTATTGAGAATATTTTAGAAGAATAATTTTTTTTAACATCTTATTCATGCTATTTATTAGTCTTGACACATTTCTAAACAGTATTTATAACATTTTTCACAGACAGTTTTGATATTCAATTAAGTTAATTATTAAGTCAAATGGTGAAACTTCTCTCCTGTTCCTGTCTCTGTAAATAAAACATGTTTTTTCGTACCTTTGACTGATTGTTAAGTGACTGCATTCATCACAAAATTAATTATCAATCTCTTTATTTAAAAGTAATAACTAAACGTGTTTTTGTTTACTCACCATGTTGTCTTTTATAATATATTTATACTCAAATTAAAAACAGACCAAAGGTGAGACATTGTAAATCCTCTGCAGCTGCATGATGAACTGTAAGTGTGTAAAATATTATGTTTGTGAAAAAACGTCTTAATAGAGTTCTGCAGGAATGAGTCCTAAAACCCTGAAATGAGTCAGCATTTTAGCACTTCCTGTTTGCTTATTATCCCCTTTTTAAACATACTATACGATGACTTTTGTTAAACATTATATCAAATTACTTTTTTATATTTTTCAAAATTATATTTCCGACATTCTGTACTTTAACTTTAACTTTTTTCAAACATACTATCCTACAACTTTTTAAGTTTGTCCACAATTATATTTTTGACAAATTACGACTTATTTAAATGTATTTCAACAAACTATACTATGAGTTTTCTTTTGCATTTTCTGAAATGGTATTTTCCACATACTTTACTACTACTCAAAACGCTACACTATGACCTTTTTTCCAACATGACTAATTCAATGCTTTTCAACAGATTTTTATGTTTTTCTAAACTATGACGTTTTAAGTTTTTAAATACTATCACTTTTATTTGTGTTTTCTGAAATTAGATTTTCGATGTGTTTTTTTCAACATACTTTACAATGACATTTAAAACAAGTAATACAAATGCTATACTATCACTTTTTCAACATACTTTACTATGACTTTTAATTCAAAAACAGTATTTATATTATACTATAATCTTACATTTATATATTTGTTCACTTTATTTTCCAAAATGATGGATATTTGTTATCATAAAGTGGTGTTAATAGAGAGATCATCCTACTGAATGTTTGTTTGCCACAGAGATAATTTTCTGCAATAATCCAACATCACATGGAGAAATCCCATTGAACCAGGGAGATGCTGCCTTCAGGGACCTCTATAGAGACCCCCTGCCTGCTCTTCGACCCCCAAAAGAAAGTGTGCACACAGCTCCAAAGTCAACAGATTTATTTCCTTTAGCACTGAAGTTGTTCACAGTAACATCACGAGGGAATACATTGCCAGTGGTTTATCCTGCAGAGTCCGTTCAGTGTGATTCCCCCCGTAGAAAAAGAGGAACGCGGACAATGGAAGGTATTGCTTTAATTTGTACTCTCTTGTAAACCCAGCGATCCGCAGAGAGCTCCCTCTTTGAGAGAATGAAAGGAGGATGCATTGCACGGTTACTGCGTGTGTTCACAGTAATCAAAAAGGGTGGAAAAAAATAAATAATAAAGAAAAATAAAACACACAAAGAACTTAAATACATAAATAAAGAGAAAAGAGGGAACAGGAGAACAATCCCAACGACGACATGCAAAGAAAAGACGAATGCTGAACATGCAAACAACCGCACGAGGTCAACGCTTTTTAAATACGCCGTCAGAAAATTATTTACAGATGAGTGTTTGTTTGTTTGTTTGGGGGGGGGGGCGACAATTATCAACAAAGGGTTCGTTCCTCTCAAAGAGGCTAAGTCTACATTCTTAAATTACGGTAAATCATTTTTCAGAAACGTATATTACAGATTTCTCTCGTCAGAAACAAAAAGATAACAAAAAGATAATAACTTAGACATGAGAAAAATACCCTTAAATAATTTGACGGTAAGAAACATTCTCTATCATATAAATAACTGAGAATACATTAAATAATAATAATAATACAAAAAATGACAATCAAGTACAAAAATATACACAGCAGTTCAATATTGTAAAAATTATAATAAAATAAAAAAATGCAACAGATTCTGACTCACTTGTCAAAAGTGCAAAAAGGAAACAGAGACATTTAATTAACGAGGCCCGGTCATAACAGCAAGAAGGGGAACTTTATTTATTTTAATTTAATTTTAATGATCTGTCTGGAAGCTAACATGTGTTGGCATTATTTAGTCAAAATACCCAGAACTAATCTATTTTCTTTGTACTGCGATCTTTACTAACCCCCTAACTTTTCTATTCAAAGAAGAGTTATTGATGCGATAATCAATCCGTTTTTTTAAAGAAATATTCGTACAAAGGCTGCAAGTAACAACAACAATAAGTAGTAGTATTCGGTCTAAAAAATGACAGAAAATGTGAAACAAATCCATAACCCATTTGGGGTTTAAAATGTCCAAGAAAAGTGAAAATCGGCCAAAGAGATTCCTTTAAATTGATTGTTTTATCAGAAGAAAACCCAATATTTATTTACTTTATTATGAAAAGCAGAACATATTCATAATTGAGGGGCTGCAAACTGCATTTCTCCATTAAAATTACTAGTTATTTTCAATCAATGCACCTCTAATTTGTACCATCAACTCTTGTCTCCTATGTGTCTACAAAACAAAACAAATCTCTGTTTTTACTGCAACAAAAGTTACATAAACCTTGAGGAACTTAAGCAAAATCTGCCTCCATTTCAGCTCTACATTCACACAAATATCAGATCTATAAGATGGCTTTTTATCGATCAACGACGTAAATCCATGTCTCTAAACTTGACTGTAAAAATGTTAAACGCTGTTGTGACCGGGCCTTTTACAGGAATACAAAACAAAATATGGCAACACAACTCTAAAAACATAATGTCACAACTACACTTTTTATACATACGGAACATTATTTAATCTGTACAACAGAATAGATCATTCATTTTTGTAATATCCCCCCTCCCCCCACCACCCTTTCTATCATACTCTAATGGGCGACTTTTTTATCCCATTTTTACAGAAGAGAAGATCCTGCCGTTCACAAAGACATTAAAAATAATTACAATCCAGCCAGCGTCCGTCTGTCCGTCCGTCTCCGCTTCTCATTACATCCCGCAGAGAAGTTAGTGTTGGAGTACATACAGTAAGCGTGTTTCTATCTATGTACATGTGGGAGAATCAGGAGGAAGAGAAAGCAGGAGAGGGGATGTGTGTGTAGACAAACATCACTGTCTTAAGGCTTTTTTCTTCTTCTTACAACTCCTATGAGATGTGTGTATTGCTGTGTCTCAATATATATACTTCAATTAGTCCACTGCCATATGGAAAACTGTGAGTAAATGCTCAGTCTGTGAATTTCAACCGTGAAGTGTCTCAAATCTCACTTGGCTTCTGTTCCTTCACCGGATATCAGAATCTCCGCTGTTAGCTAGCTGGCTAAGTAGCAACGCTATTGTTCGCTGTACCAACACTGTCTCAATTACGATTCTTTCCTAAGTACACTGCATGTCGTACACTTTAAACACTTGTGCAGTGTGTGAATTTCGACCGAGTAGCGTTGACGTTTATCGCACATGGCTTGTGTTTTGCCACTGTTTGCTAGCTAGCTAGGTAGAGACGACCATTCGCGGTACCAACACTGTTTTTCAATTTATATTTTTTCCTAAGCACACTTCCATGTTGTACACTGTGAACACTTGTGCAGTGTGTGAATTTCGACAGTGTTGTCTCAAATCGCAGACAGCTGCTGCCACTGGACATGACGATTGCTGCTGTTAGCTAGTTAGCTAGCTAGCAATACTAGCGTTCGATGTAGCAACAGACTGCTACGTTCACCCAATAAAATTAACGGTGGCTTCTTTTGGACACCAATATAGTGTAACGCTAATTTAATAGTCCAAACCGACATGTATACATTATATTTGTATAGTGCACAATAGAGTGGTGCAGGAATGAGTCCTAACAGCCTGAAAGGAGTCAGCAATTTAGCACTTCCTGTTCCCTTGAAGTCAATGGTTTCCTGATATTGTTTTTGGTTGTTATCCTGAAATAAGGTCTGTGGTTAACACAAGCTGAAGAGATTTGAAAGTGTAACGTTTCTGACATAAAATACGTCAATAAATACCCCACTGCAGAATAAAAAAACTACGGTTGCTAACAAGTGACTAAATGAGACGACTAAACGTCATGTGACCGTGCTGTAGTTCCTTTATAGCCTAATGTCAGCTTTTTACTGCAACAATCACGAAGTGTTGTTAATATGTGGAGATTAACCTGCCGAACTAAGCGTGTACATATCATAAACGTTTGTTTGACACAGAGATTATTTTCTGCAATAATCAAAAATCGAATGGAGAAATCCCATTGAACCAGGGAGATGATGCCTTCAGGGTCAAACACAGAAATAGGACATCACTGCACCACTCTACTGTTCACCATCCAGGTATCACAGTGCGTTTTGCATTCATTTGAAGTTGGACACACTTATGCACTCAGAACAGCAAATCTAATTACAGAAGTACGCGATTTGAGACACAGCATCTGTTTGGTCTCACTCTACTGATGGGTTAGAATAAAGAGGGGGGAGTGAAAAGTGAAATGGGGGAGGGGAAAAGAGGCGTCTTTTCTCCAGACTTCAGGCGGCGGGTGGTGTCGAGGAGCCGCCGAGGTTAATAGTTATTATGGATGATCCCTGGTGGCAGAGACAAGTCAAGCCATCACACACTTGAGGAGGGTTACACACACCCCCCGAAAAAAAGACCCCCAGAGAGGAAGGGACAACAAAGCTACGTTTGCTACTTATTGTAAAATACTGATCAGCCATTCCCATTATACAGTACAAAATGTATAGGCAAAAATGTTGTGTTTTCACTCCGAGCTATCAGCTTTTCTCTAGTCATGCAAGGCTACTGATCCTTAAGGTTGTTCCTGTGTCCTGTTGCTGTCGGCCATCTTTGTTTTGTCTTTGCCGGGGGGGCATTTAGAGTCATTGGGCGGGGGTGTGGGCTTGCTGCCGGGGGCATGCTTGGCGGGGGAGCTAGGCGTGTCGGGGGACGCTTGTTGGATGTTCTTCTCGTCTGAAAAAAGCTGTTTAATTACGTCAAAGAAGTTACTCAACGGGCTGCCTACACAGACGGGAAGAAAAGAAAAACAGAGAGAGAGAGAGAAAGAGAGAGAGAGAACAAACAACAGATGAGCAATGGGGTTAACATGAGGAAGAGGAAGAGGTGATGGAGGGATGAGAGGAGGAAGAGGAGCCGGAGGAAAGGAGACTCTTCAGCCGAGGGAAGGTTGTACGGTTAAAGGGAGGAGGTGAGATAATGTTAAAAAACTATTTTGTATTATTTTTTCTAAAGGGCAAAGATGTTTGTATCATATGGAAGCCCATTTCTGCCAATGTGAGGGAACAAAGATACTGATAGTCATTTTAGTGAGAGGTTCCCTTCAAAAAATTACTTTACATTTCCAAATAAAGACTCAGGACCTCAAAATAACATCTTTTAAATAATGACTGAGAATCTCTGGGTGTTTCTCAATGTCGAGTAAAGCTGCTTCAGAGCCACTATTTCAAGCATACTACGTCATCGAGTGCTGCCGAAGTACTGTTCCAATCTCCAGCATACTTGGAATTCTACCGAGCCCGGCGTACTCCGTTTGGAGAAATATCGAGGCTGCACATGAGTAGACTCCGCGGTCTTAAAATCCCCACAATGCTTTGCGCACGGACCAATTTCCCCAAATCTGTGGTGGAAGATGTAAGGCGGGGCCTCTCATATGACGCACACCTGCACACTTGCTAGCGTGTTCCACACTTCGTTTTCCGAATGCCAGGAAGTATTCTTGACTCGCTTCTGAAGCAAGATGCTCCGCAGACATGTGCTACCAAGCAAGCGTACTCGCGATTGAGAAACACCCTCTGACTTAACATCTCACAATAATGAGTGACCATAACTTTAACATAATATGTAATTATTCTGAGATACTAAGTTATAGTAAAATGATCAACTTAGTATATAGAAATAATGACTTAATTCTGCAAAAATAATAGGGAACTTTAAAATAATGAATTAGCATTTCTAAATATTAAGTTATGTTAACTTTTATAAGTCTTTACTTTATTCTGAGATACTTATTTTTTGAGAATGAGAAACTTTCTTGAAAGAAAATCCTATTTCCTCAAATGAATGACCAAAATGATTGACTTCATATCTAAAATAATGACTTTGTATGAGACAACTATTCCAAATAACTACTTAGTAACTTAAAAAAATGACTGGTTATTTTAGTTTAATGGTCTTACCATGGTCTTATTTTAAAGAAAGTTTTTCATTAAAATAACTATCAAGGCTGATCCTTCATCTTATTAACATCTTAAACTGGGGGAAATGGTCTTCCATAGTTTTTTTCTGATTCAGTTTCAGGTGAGGTTTGGCTTCAGAGTCTCAGTTTCCTTCAGAGCTGGAGAGCTAACGGAGAGGAAGAGTTCAGGCTCATTCAGTAGCAGAGAAACAGAAGAGCAGGAGGACATTTAACCTCCATAGAGCAAATCAGATTTATAAATGTCCCATCGTTTCAAAATAAACTTGTGTAGGTTTGATTAATTGAGGCTTACATTTTGTCACCTTTTGACCAAACTTGAATGAACAGAGATAAGAAAAAAGACATTTGAAGTTTTAAATCGGTCTTTTGATGCACATTGCAAAGGTCTGTATAAAAGTACATTGGTGATTTATGGTGAATAAACATTGAATATCCCTCAACGTATTAACGACAAGCCTTTTAAGTACATCCAAGCTTCTTCAAATAGCATCATATTATTATATTGCTAATGGTTGCTACTATGGGTTTCTTTAATCTTTACATACTGTGCTTTTTAATCAGGAAATATGCTCACATGCATTATGTTCAGCGTTTGTTTACTTCTCCAGATTTATAACTGTTTTCTCTGTACGAACGTCTTCCAGATCTCCCGTTAGCTCTCCATCACATCAACATCCATCACAACAACATCCAACATCCACCGTTTAAGGCACAGTTTCGTTTCAAAAACAGTCATGAGTGAATTAAAACATGCAACAATACAGCACTGAACGCACAATAATACACAACCATTGCCAAGGTTAGTCAGAGTGTGTGTCCCTTCAGATATTAACCCTGTGTGTTGTGTTGCTGATTATTAGAAATAAATCAGACGTGTTGTGATAACTTACCATTATTCCACATAGTGCATTTCTGATATTTTGTTCCAGTGATTTCAGATATGGAAAGTTTATGAGTAGGGGAGGGAGGGGGGCAACCCAGTGTCAAGCATTACCATGCAAAGGGTCAGTAAAGAGCTACACACACACACACACTGGAATATTTACATTTTATAGAAAAAGAAAAGTGTATATTATACCATTAAAGTTAGAAAAAGTATGGTAAAAATTACGCTGTAAAAAGTAGAAAACAAAGTAAAAAAAAGTAATAGTACAGTATTTCATAAAAAAAAGTTATTAAAACGTTTAAAAAAATAAATAATTATTAAGTGTGTAAAAAAAATGTAACAAAACGTCAGAAAGAGGTGAAAATGTCAAGAAAGTCAAAAAAGTCATTAAAGTAATAAAAAACAGTGAAAGATTCATAAAATAGTATATTATAGAAAAGTAAAAAGAACTATAACAAAAGATAAAAGTTAAAATGAAGTCATATATTAAATAAAAAAGTCAAAGTATTCGTAAAATATGTCATAAAAAGTTAAAAAAGGCTTTTAAAAATGTCAGTTTCCTATTTCAGAAAACGGTTTAAGATTTATTTCCACATTTATATTAGATATTTGCATCTCAAGCACAAGCACACGCACACGCACACGCACACGCACGCACGCACACACACACACACACACACACACACACACACACACACACACACACACACACACACACACACCACACACACACACACACACACACACACACACACACACACACACACACACACACACACACACACACACACACACGTTGGTGCAGGGTGTGTTGGACGGTACATGACGTTGCCAGTGTGTGTTAAAAGCCAGAGTTATTTTATTTAAGGAGTTTTCTCTCTGGGTCTTACCACGCTTTGAGGGTTTACCGGATAAAGAGGCTGAGCGCTGAGAGCCATCTGAGAGCAGAGGACAGCGTCACACACACTCACACAGTGACGGCCCTTCATATAATCAGCTGACACACACACCAGCAGCTCATTGGCTGATATACTTCCTCTTGAATTTAAAGAGCGCCTGCAATGACGAATGTTTACCAAATTTTTCGCACATTTTTACAGATGCCAACCTCTGGAGAGCCTTGAACCTGCATTCTCTCTAAAATCCAGCAGGGGGCGACACCTCTGGTTTCGATTGTATGGAAGTGAGAAAATGACCCTGGTTCTAATTTACAAAATAAATTAGTGTTAAGGGACAAAAACTCCTGAATGCCCCCATGGGGATTAATACAGGTCCATCTTATCTTATCTTAAAAAACATTTCAGAAGTTTTGGGTTTTAACTAAATGTAATCTTTGTAATGTGTGTAGTGGGCATTACACTTCACTAGTTAAAACAATTATTCAAATTGAATAGAAGTCTATAAAAAATTAGCCTACTTCTAACTAACACAAGAAATTAGTGTTGAGAGACTAAAAACATTTCAGAGGTTTTGGGTTTTAACTAAATGTAATCTTTGTAATGTGTGTAGTGTTCGATAAACTCCACTGCAAAATACGATCTGGTTGTATAGAAGTCTATGAGAAAATGAGTCTACTTTTCCTTATGAGTTTATGGTTTGTTCAGTTAGTAAATGATGGTCCCATTTGGGGTGAAATAGGCGATAAAGCAGCATATGGTTTAGGGATTGTATAGAAGTCTATGAAAAAAATTAACCTACTTCCCACTTATAAATAAATAAGTGTTTGGAGACTGAACAGTGAGATATTATTTTCGGTTTACAGCAAGATATTAGAGAAAGGAGACTCTGAGAAACAGGCTGAACATCCACCTTTGCAGACATTACCCTTTAAAATCCATCTGCTCCTACATCCACATAAATATAACACACACTCTCCCACACTCACGCCATCAGGATCATGTCTGTGTGAGGTGTTTCGGTTTCATCAAACACATGCACAGGTTCTGCAAACACAAACTCTGTGTGTGAGTTTGTCACTTTATACAGTACAGAGCATGCTTCCAGTGAACACACCATAAAGTATGTGTGAATGGCAGCTCACCCAGAACCATCAGCACACACACACATAGTTTGGAGGTCAAACATGATGGGTGTGTGTGGTTCTGGGTTTCATTCGGCATGCATTCATCCAAGTGGCATCAGAGAAAGCGGTGGATGGCAATAAGCAGGATGGCATGGAGAGGCAGACAATATAAAGATAGATGGATATATAGATAGATAGATAGATAGATAGATAGATAGATAGATAGATAGATAGATAGATAGATAGATAGATAGATAGATAGATAGATGTAGATGTGGGTTATTGGCACATCTACAGGTGATGGTGACTGAGGTTGTGCCTGATAACAGTTCCCATCTATGGCAGTGACTTCGTTTTGTTTAGCTCTGAGTATCGTTTCAGACTATTGTTCCAGCTTGGAAGTGGCTGACAGAACACAAAACAACTTGTTCGCCCCCATAATATGTTTGTTTGTGTGAGGGTGTGTATAGGCTCACCTTAACAAATCAATGAAATGCGGAAAACAAATCTAGAACTGTTTTCTTAAGAAGTACACATTTCCTTTTTTTAGTACACAGTTTTTTTAAAGGAAATAATATACTATACGTTTTTATTAATAACTTTTTTTGCATGGCTTTATTTTCCTTTTTTGTCTATGTTTTGACAGACTATAAATATATTTTTTTCAGTTTTAAATCCAAATGCTTTTATTGTAAAATCTTATAATTTTGATTCTAAATCTGATTTTTTTATTGCAAAACCGTACTTCTCAGTGTAAAACTATATATTTATTTTAAATCTGTTGGATTTTTGTTAAGGAACCCCTGGCTATGCACACTTTTAGGTAAAAAAAAGTCATGCCTGATGTACTATATTCTCCATAATGAATTAATTACCACTCACAGCCCTGTCAATTAGTCATTGAAACTCTAATTGAATGATCGCACTGCACCTTAAAAAAAAAAAAAGCCTCAAATATACGAACAAATGACCTGAAATGGGTATTTTTGTAGTACATTTATATGTTATACTTGTCATTGCTAATCTAGATGAAAAACATCCAAACTATCCTTAAAACACTAACTGTTACAGCAGTGTGTGTGTGTGTGCGTATGTTTTGGTATACTTGTGAGGACCAAGTTTTAATAAACAACCCGTTCTGTGAGGACACTTTTGGTTATTATAGCTTAACACTTTGGTGAATGTGTGTGTGTGTTGTAGATACTCTGCGTCACCACCAGAGGGGACCATTATCAAGAGAATAACCACAGATACAAGAAACAGTGTCACACTAACAAACAGAAACTAACAGGGAGGACACACAGTCACTCTTTCTGTTCTTCCATATTTTTTATAATCCATCCATCTATCTATAGGCAGCCCAAAATATCCAATAACAACAAAGAATATTTCGTAGACTTTTGGGGAGTTGAGACACTGAATAAGTATGAATGCTTCTGAAAATGTACATATTTCTACTTCTTTTACACAATAAAGCTGCAAGAAAAATTCTAGTTTGATGTGCAGCTCCTGTAAATGCACATCTGAAGGCCTGCATGTGTGTGTGTGTGTGTGTGTATGTGTGTGTCTATGCACGCCATGGTATGTGCAGGGGCATGCACGTGGATGTGCTAAAAGCAGAGTGCCGAGCCGAGGGTCCGAGCCGAGGAGCCGCTGAGCTGTGAGGAGAGCCAGGATGCCGGGGGGAGGGAGGCTGTGAGGGGGTGGGGGGGTGAGGTTTGGGGGTGTAGGCGTGGTGGGGGGGAAAGGTGTTTAGGGTGGCGAGGGTTTCCACTTACCAGCTATCTGAGGCTGGATGCCGGGCTGGTCTGAGCTGAGCAGCTGGGCCTGAATCGTCTCCACAACGCGCTTAAAACGTCGACTTGGACCTAAGGGGAAAATAATAATACATTGTTTTTAATTTAAAAGGTCCCCTATCATACTCTTTTTCATCAATATCTTATAGGTCTCAGATATATACAGAACATGTCTCTGAAGTGTTTGCCTCCAAACACCAAACAGATCATTGCAGCATCCCATAATCCCCTCTGTTTCAGCCCTGTTTCAAAAGTGCTGATTCTCTGTCTGTTACTTTAGATGAAAATAAGGAGCCCCTCCCCACGCCCCTCTGAGAGAGATTTGGTTAAAAAGAACACAATGGTGCTCTAGGAGGAGATTCAGGTGATAAGGTGGGGGGGGGTTACCTTGGCTGGTGATTGGCTAATGGTTACACAAGCCAAAACATCGTTATGACCAGGGGTGCACACAACTTTCTCAGTGAGGTACTCAGATGAGTACCTGAGTCAGTGTTTGGTACTCCAACTTCTGGCGATTGTCAACGGGGGGGGGGGGGGGGTGGAGTACTCCAACTTCTGGCGATTGTCAACGGGGGGTGTCAACGGGGGTGGGGGGGGGGGGGGGGAGTACGGAGCTTCGTGACCGCGGAGCGTGTGAACGTTGTGATCAGCTGTTTTAGCGCAGGGCTGCTGTACAGACCGACGTTAACAGCAGCCCTGTCTGTGCACACGGAGACCGACTCTGTCGTCCGGTGATCTAACCGCCTTCTGGAAAAGCTTCACAAGTACGTCGGTACGCAAATGCGCTTTGTGACACAAGTGACGGTACGCATTTCAGATTGTTGCCGCGCATGCGTTCCTGCGTACCAGTTATGTGCACCCCTGGTTATAACATCATAAAGTGGCCAAAATCTGATCAGCTCATTTTCAGACAGGTTTTTATATAAATGGATCAGGACAAAAAGAGAGAGAATCTTTTTTCCTGAAACTTTCAGAATCTCTTTACACAGAGGGGACACATGTTCATGTATACTAGGTGACCTTTAAAGTATATACCAGACTCCGAGTCCTCAATCACATTTTATGAAGCATTCTGAGATGTATTGGAGTATTTTTGCGCTTTGCCCACCTTTTATCTCCGAAACTGATTTGCACATTCATATAAATCTGGAATACCATCACCAAAATAATACATCTTAATTTAAATTTCCTCTCTACTCACTTCCCTCTATTTACTTGTTATTTTTCTATATCTTATTCGAAAATGGAGCAACTGTCGCTCACCCACTTTTCCTCAGGATAACAAAATATACTGTTTTATATTGTGTGATGAATAAAGTATTGTGTTTGTGATAATTAAGTATTGTGTTTGTTATGTTGTTACCTGAGAGCAGGGTGAAGGTGACGGAGTAGATGCCGTTGTCCTTGGTGGCGCTGCTGCTCTCCGTGAAGGTGATGTCCACCTGGAACTTCACCGGCTTCTGGAAAACTGTCGGCCCGGCGGAGGATTTATACTCTGCCCGGAAACTCGTCTGAGAGATGACGCTGTGACTCAGGCTGGGGATCTGAGAGAGAGAGAGAGAGAGAGAGAGAGAGAGAGAGAGAGAGAGAGGGAGAGGGGAGCGAGTGTGAGTCAGCACATACAGACAGCTTCTGCAGGAATAAGGATGGCAGCAGCAGAAGGAGACAGTGTTACACTGAAATATGTCCCCCTTTTTTACAGCGTCAGAGTCATCTTCAGCACCGACAGACAAGGAGGTGTCGTTGCACAATGAACTGTTGTCATACTACACTACAAAAATGACTTAAACAAAGTCAAAGGTTGCTCTTTTGGTCACATTGTTCACATGTTTTCTGTGCAAATATATCTTAATTTCTAAGTGTAAATGCAGTTGAAATGTCGTTTTCAATGTTAATGTAATGAGCTACTAGCAGAAGGTGGCATGAATGATACATATTCAAATAAAGTACAAGTTCCTCAAACTACAAAAGAAGAAGAAGAAGATGTTTGTCAGGAGGAGTTTCATTCTTACGGAGAGGAAGGCGTGCACGATATCGGCCTTGATGGAGTTCAGAGGTTTGTCTCTGATAACGATGAAGATCTGCTCCTCTTTCTCCAGATTTATGAAGTTACCGAACCACGACTTCTTCGCCAGTCTGCAGGGAGGAAACACACAACATCAGCTCAAGTCAAAGTCAACTTTATTGTCTATCTTTCAGTTTGTGTGTGCAGACAGAGAGATCAAAATACCGTTTCCCACAATACCGAATACAAAAACATATATATATACAAATTTGTAAGCAAATATGTATATATACACAATCAAAAGACACATTTATACATATGCACACATTAACCAAGTTCTTCCAAAATAACATTTCTCTTTTAAAACTCCACTAACTACTTCACCTCAGATATCCCTCATGTTATGGTTTCATTATGCCTTTCAAATGGAATTAAATAGAAACAAGATGTTTTTCTAGAGAACAAGCAACGTACAGTTTATTTAAACCTAATTTAAAGACATAAAGGATCATTAGTACTAAGATCTGTCAACACTAAAACAATATCATAATAATATTATAATTATACCAATATTATTATTAATAATAATACTAATAATAAACGTTGATTAAACAATTGCACAAATAAATAAATGAATAAATCAGTAATATATTTTGTAGGGCTGCCTTAAATGAATGGGAACTCTACTGCCTTATACACATTTATTTAAATTGAAAAGAGGGAGTAAGAGTGAGAGTATGGAGGATGTTGGTTACTCACTCTGGAGAAGAGTCTGGAGTTAGACTGGACATGTCTTCCTGGGTGGGAACTGTGGAAATAAAAGGTCAATGGTTACATTGATGGGATGCAGTGTCTTTCTCTTTTACATAAAAACGGACTTCCTGTCTTCACAATCAACTGATACAGATCTTTATTTACCACTATGATCTATTTTAGATTAGTCGGTGTAAATGAGATGATCTGGTCATGGCACTATCAAAGAAGGGATGGGTAAAATAAACTAAAAGGCAGAAAATTGAGGATTTTCCACTTCCTGTAATGAGATGTTTATCTTGTTTGTGTGGCAGCAGGTGAGCTGCTAAACTCCGACATTAGAGTAACATTTCCATTTGTTCCCTCGAGCCACAAGAAGGCAGTTTGCTGCATAAACACCTCCATGCTGAACCCATTACCATACAGATCAGACTGAGATAATATCATAAAGATCTGATGAAAATAAATAATTCACAGGAGTCTCTTTTAATATAAAAATTGCCATTCCCTCTGCACATAGTATTTGCCTTTTATTACACTTTGATCAAAGAGTGGTGCAAGAAAGAGTCGTAAGACCTGGACATTAGTCACCATTTTAGCACTTTTTGTCCCCTGGTTTGGAAGTCAATGGTTTTCTGAATGTGTTTTTGGTTGTGAGCCTGATTTAAGGTCTGTGGTTAACACTAGCTGAAGAGATTTTAACGTTTTGTTCTGCTACATAAAATATGTCAGTAAATACCCCACTGGTGAATTTAAATCGGCGGTTGCTATCAAGTGTCTAAATGAGGCGACTAAACGTCATCACTCCCAACATTAGCCGCATTTAGCTTAGCTGTGGTGACGTGAAGTCATGTGACCATGCTGTAGTTCCTTTATAGCCCAACATTAACTTTTAACTTCAGGAATCATAAAGTGTGTGTTAATATGTGGAGATTATCTTGCTGAACAAAACGTGTAAGTATCACAAACGTTTGTTTGACACAGAGATTATTTTCTGGCATAATCCAAAATCACATGGAGAAATCCCATTGGACCAGGAAGATGCTGCCTTGAGGGTCCAACACAGAAATCAGTAATCACTGCACCACTCTATGTCAGAAAGATCCTATGTAAATAAATAATCTCTCTAAGTCTCTCTTATTCTGACAATAAAATAGCGGTATGCAATGTGTGTGTGAAGCAGAAATCCTGCAGCTCCGCCCGCTGTGACGGACCGGTGAGCGGAGCAAAACACACACTAAGAGTTAGACCTAACACACTTAGCTATTTTATCTACCTCTGGAACAAGCTAAACTAGTTATACATGTATTTATTCTTCACTGTCGGGTCACTCATTACTGGATCAGTGAGCTGCATGAGACGATACTGACAGGCTGTCAGGAGAGAGAGAGAGAGGGAGAGAGGAAAAGAGAGCTAATTTCTCCCGTGTTATTATCCAAAGTTAATGTAAACTTGAAAAATGTACTTTATTTGAATGTAATAATTATGTTGGTTGTTGTTTGTGGAAGCGCATCATGTATTGAAAAATGTATCTGAACTTTTCGATCCGTTACGATTATAAACTGAAGCAAAAATGAGCCCCATTAACTGAGTTTTAAACATCACTTTAAATCGAAGATCCCCATAGCCCCCACCCACCCGATCGGATCGGCGATCGGTATCGGCCGATACTGATTCCGGCGATCAGTCCCAAAATTCCCGATCGGAGCATCCCTACTTACCTTGCATTTTCCTGCGGTGGAAGCGTGGTGAGCCCAGGAAGTTGTTCTTGATGGAGTTGAGGCGCGTCCTCCAGGGCAGACCCCCCCCAATGGAGGGGCTGGGGGGGGGCGTGGGGCTGGGGGTCCCGGCCGGGCTGTCCTTGGGCGTGTGCACAGGGGTGCCTTTGGGGGTGGGGAGAGGGCTCCCTCGGGGGGGGGGGGGGGGGGGTCACCTGCGTGATGGGGACAGATTTTCCGTTGTGGTCAGGGTAGAGGTGGAGGTGGTGGTGGCGGCGGCGGGGCGACATAGGGGGGGCGGGGGAGAGGGGGATGGAGAGTTTTGGGGGTACAGTGAGGGGGGGGTGGCGCCTCACCCGGGGGCTGTTGGTGATGCAGGGGGTCAGAGGCGTGGAAGGAGTGGAGGGTGCAGATTTGGGGTTGGTGGGGCTCTGGGCGGTGTTTGGGAGGGGGTTCGAGCGTGTGGTCTGCAGGGGCTTCTCTGACACTTTGGGCTTTGCGGGGAGGGTCTGCGTGCGGGGGTGCATGAGGGGGGACCCCATCTTTGGGTGGTAGGAGTTTGGCGTCCGCGGCCCCCCGTTGAGGCGCACCTCGTGGTGGGAGTGGGTGGGGCTGCAGTTGGGGGACTGACACAGGTCGGGGGACTGGGGCGGGATGAAAAACCGCCGCGTCGGCTGCGATTGGTCATGCACCCGTTCAGACGGCAGCCAATGAGAAGCGAGGACCAATAAAAAGGGTCATTCCGGTAAAAAAATAAAAAAGCAGAGCAGGACAGAAAGAGGGCGGATGGTTGAGAGGTGGAGCAGGCAGGAAGTGGTGAGAGTGCAAGAAAGAAAGAAAACAGAACATGCGATTAGCAACGTGATTTTTAGCCAATCAGGAGGCAGCAGTGGAGCATTCATGACGCATAAACAGACGGGATGCACCGCGATCAAACTGCTGCACCGAACATATTTAAAATTACTGAGAAAAACTGATTGTGTCTGTTATGTTTTTTTTACCTTGTGAATTTAGCCTTTTTATTGTGAAATTATAATTTAAATTAGTTAATTATATTATTTTTATTGCAAACAAATATATATTTTTTAAATAAAACCATATTAATTTATTGTTGAACCTTGATATTATTTTGTAATTTATTATTATTTAAAAATCCTTTCTTTAATGAAAATGATATAGTTTGTTTTATTGTAAAACCATACAAATTACAGTTGAAATATAATTTAATTACTTAATTATAATATTATTGACCCCAATTTCTTTATTATAAAAATATTTGTGAGACCAATTTATTCAGTTGAATCATGGTATTTATTTATTTATTGTAAAATCCTTTTTTTTATTGATAAAATATAATTTTTATTGTAAACAAATTATTTGTCATTGTAAAACAATATTTGTTGTTGAAAAAACACTTTTGATAGAATAACCACAATTTAATTGTAAAATAATAAAAAAATGTATAGTTAAATTATAATTTTTATTGTAAAACCATATTTTTTTGTAGTTAAAAAGTTAATGTCACGTTTATTTTTACTTTATTGTAATCAAAGAGTAATAAAGCGTAATTTCAAAATATAAAAAAAGTTTTTAAAAATAACTCCTACAACCTCAAATTATTGTCCTGACATTTGAGAAACCTTTTTCTGGTATTAACAGACACAACTAAAACTACCTCTATGTTTTTTTCTCCTTTCATTTCAGTTTTTTCTTTTAGACAAATCTTATAAATGACTATGGTCTGATACGGTGCATCCCTGATTACCAGCACGTGAGTTAGCTCGAAAGCTAACAGCTTTAGCTTCACCCTCCACCAGGGGGCCGCGGCCAGCAGCATGCAAAGTGCTGACTCATGATGCTGTGGGATGAATGAGCAGAGCTGATAAACATGAGTCAGCACAAAGTGAACCACCAGCTCCACAGAGGCCAAGAAACATGAGTCAGCACAAAGTGACCCACCAGATCCACACGGGAACAGAGGGCTGATAAACATGAGTCAGCAAAAAGTGAACCACCAGATCCACACAGGAACGGAGGCCCGATAAACATGGTGAACCAGCAACAAAACAAACAAACAGCAGGTCCGAAACTTCCATGTCATTAAATGCATAGGAAAAGTGTGTGTGTGTGTGTGTATGTCTGTGTGTTTGTCAAAACTATCCTCAGTGCTGTGAGAAAAATAATAGTGTGTGAGTGTGCTTGTATTGCTATACTTGTGAGGACCAATAATTGAAGAACATTCCCATGTTGTGAGGACATGTCTTTGTATTTTAAAGAAAACATTTAGCTGTGTGTGTGTGTGTGTGTGTTTGTCAAAACTATCCTCAGTGCTGTAAAAATAATAATAGTGTGTTTGAGTACGCTTGTATTTCTCCATTTGTGAGGACACATAATTGAAGAACATCTCATTTTGTGAGGACATGTTTGTTTTTTAAAAGCAAATATGTAGCTGTGTGTGTGTGTGTGTGTGTATGTGTGTGTGTGTGTGTGTGTCCAGCAGAGCCAGCCAGTGAGGTGCATTGTGGGACAGAGAGAAACTTACCCTGGGACTGCTGAGAGGACTGGTGGACAGACCGGAGGAAGCTCCGCTGATCGACCGCGATCTACACACACACAAACACAGATCAATATCTAAATACACACTACTTCACACACACTACATGTACACACAACCTCTTTGTGGTTTGTTGAGGTTGAAGGTGATTTGATTTAAAGCAGAGAAAAAGACTTGGACAGGGACAGATGAAGAGAAAACATTAGTATTTATTTTCTCTGCAGCGCTCACAAAGTATTTTATTACTTTCTGCAGAATAATAAACCTCTTTCTCTTAAGTTACTCTTACTTTATCTCAATTTAAGCACACGATTACCTGTTATGTTTTTGCTTTAGTGTGGATAGATAATATTATGGGATTACATGTACAATAACACATAATGAGGACCTGTGCACGCCAGCTGGCTCCTGTTCTCCAGTATCTATTCAACCTGAGCCTGCACTTGGAGACCATCCCGGTGCTGTGGAAGACATCATGCGTTGTTCCGGTCCCTAAAAAGACAACTCCTTCTGGGCTCAATGACTATCGCCCTGTAGCACTCACATCTCATGTGATGAAGGTGCTTGAGAGACTGGTCTTGGCCCATCTCAGACCGCAGGTGAGATCATTCCTTGACCCTCTGCAATTTGCCTACCAGCCTCACCTGGGGGTGGACGATGCCATTATTTACCTGCTGCAGCGTGCTCACTCATACCTGAATGGATCGGGTTGCACTGTGAGAATCACCTTTTTTGATTTCTCCAGTGCATTCAACACGATCCAGCCTCGGCTACTGAGTGACAAGCTGCAGGCTATGAGGGTAAACTCGTCCACCATCTCCTGGATTACCAACTACCTCACGGACAGACCACAGTACGTCCGGCTGGGCAGTGTGCTGTCTGATGTGGTGGTTGGTAGTATTGGAGCCCCACAGGGGACTGTGCTGTCTCCTTTCCTGTTCACCTTATACACCTCTGACTTTCTATACAACTCAGAGTCATGCCACCTGCAGAAGTTTTCGGATGACTCTGCAGTGGTAGGGTGTATAAGGGATGGACGGGAGGAGGAGTACAGAGCGCTGGTGGGTGATTTTGTTGAGTGGACTGGAAGAAATCATCTGCTTTTGAATGTGGCCAAGACCAGAGAGATGGTCATTGATTTCAGGAGGAAGAGGACATCTCCTCCTCTGCCCCTGTGCATTCTGGGAGAGGATGTGGCAGTTGTGGAGGTCTACAAGTACCTGGGAGTGCACTTAGACAATGGGCTGAACTGGAGGATCAACACTGACGCTGTGTACAAGAAGGGGATGAGCAGACTCTATTTTCTGAGGAAGCTGAGATCCTTCAACGTATGCAGCAAGATGCTGGAGATCTTCTATCAGTCTGTTGTGGCTAGTGCACTCTTCTTTGCTGCGGTCTGCTGGGGGGGCAGCATCAGAGCCGGTGACACCAGCAGGATCAATAAACTGATCAGGAAAGCTGGGTCAGTCATCGGCATCAAGCTGGAACCCTTTGAAGCTGTGGTGGAGAGGAGGACACTGAACAGGCTGTTGTCCATCATGGATAACCCCACCCATCCTCTCCACCTGCAGCTGGACAGTCAGCGGAGCTCCTTCTCCTACAGACTGCTGCAGCTCCCCTGTCTCAAGGACAGATACTGGAAAACATTCCTGCCCACTGCAATAACTCTGTACAACAAATCACCTCTGGCTGGAAGAGAACTCTCTGCTCCATAGTTTCTCTAGAAATAAAACCACCTTGTACATTTTACTCACACATAATCTGTTTCATATTTAATACTCCATAATTCCATATATTTTGAATATATATATATTTGTATATTTGTATATATATATATATATATATATATAATATCTGTATGTATATTTTGTATTTTGACATGTATATTTTATATTTTATTTTATATTTTATTTTATTTTATTTCTATTCTTGTATATTTTGTTTTATTGTAAAATGCCTTTTATGCTGCTGTAACAAAAACAATTTCCCAATTTGGGATCAATAAAGTACGATCTATCTATCTATCTATCTATCTAATTGAACTAAGCCTTTATTTTGAAATTTGAAACTGAAAACATTTGCATCTAAACATCAAATGTGCAGCACTTTATATTGAACTAAAGGGTTTATTAAAGGAAGTGTAGGTCATTTTGGAGAAACCAGCTCGAGTAAACTAGAATTTGAAAGTACACAACCGGAAAAAATCTGCCCCTTCCTTCAGACTTCCTTACAGAGCCCCTCCTCCAACACACACGAACACGCACATGACCAATGAGGGCACGAGATAAGTTTGTGCACGAGATGGAAGGCAGGTAGGCAGGTAGGCCATCCAGTTATTTTAGCTGGGCCGGCTAAAATGATTGGTCGTGCTTTTTACAGTATTACGGCTTCCACAGATGAAATATTTGTATATATTTATTGACAAAGCATTTAATGTATTCATTGCTATCGGGATGTTAAGAGCATTCCATGGAATATAACAAAAAGTGTTTCTGAAGTGAATTACCTACCCCACCTTTAATGTAGTTTTTTTTAAAGCAAAGATTTTAATGACATTTTAATGTTGTACAAACTTAAACGGCTACAATTGAAAACCAAAATAAAATGTGGGGACTTTTCTTTCTCTTATGATGAAAATGGGTCAGAATCCCCATTCATTTGTATGTAAGTTACTTAAACAAGAACAGCATCATTGGTTTAATTCAATAAAAAGTACAGACATGTCAGCATTTAAACACACAAACACACACACACTGCAACATTCTATAGCGCCATTTCTGCTTTCTTCTCTTCATGAGCTTTTCCATTTTCCATTTACGTATCATTAACTTTTCATATCTGCTCCTGCACGCACGCACGCACGCACGCACGCACGCAATCTTAACCAAAAACCATGCCAATGTCTTTGACGACGTTGGGATTTAATTGCCCATAGACAATTTGGCTTTGTTGGAAGAGAAAAATGAAAATCAGTAAATCATAATTAAATATGCTTGAAGACACACACACACACACACACACACACACACACACACACACACACACACACACACACACACACACACACACACACACACACACACACACACACACACACACACACACACACACACACACACACACACACACACACACACACACACACACACACACACACACACACACACACACACACACACACACACAACATCACTGGCATTAAATTCGCTTTCTCACGACAACGTTTACATACAAGACATTTTTCATTCATCACACGAAAGTGCTCAATGGTAATGGCGGTCATGTTTTTCCTTCTAGTATAATTCTTGTTATTGCTTTGTTTCTCTCGTTAATAAAAATACTCGTTATGTGGTAAAAGTGTAATTGTTTTTACTCTAAGAAGAAAGTAAACGATCATGTCTGTGGTTAATAACCCAAGTAAATACAGTCCCTGTCGACATAATGTATCCTTAAGCGTTGTTTGTTTTTTGAAGTTCATTCTTCCTCCAGTTATTTTCAGATTTTAAAGTGCTATGTTCAAAATGCCACTTACTCACGACTCAAATGTTAAATTCTTTGAGTTTAAAACATATCCTTTTAAATACCAGATAAATATATTCCTTGTGTTTTATTCATCCTTGTATCATGTAGTGTTTTGCTGTTCTGATGCATTTTTACATTTTTAATTAATTGATTGCAATGTTTGTTCATTGTCCATCGCACATTCAATACAAGTTAAATATACAAATGTGTGCATAGTTATATCAATAAATAAGAAGCGTGTTAATCAGAGCCTCTTCAGTGATTCTCTATCTGCGATCAGAGTCACAGATTTAATGTGAAGTATGATTGAGAAAGCACATAACGACGCTGCATTAATGAAGAAGAGGAGTCCCTTCAGAAAGGAGCATCTACAGTATTAACAAGCAGCTTAATAATGTGAAGCTTGAGTTAGTCTCTGAAATATGAATATTAATCATTACCAGTGGTGTGTGTGCTTCATCTTAAGGGTCTTCTCAATTACATAAAGGAATATTGAGTGTGAGTTAAAAGCATCATGTATTTTTCATCTTGTGTGTTTGCTCCATCTGCATTTTAACCTGCCAATTAATTTATGCTAATCTCAGAAAGTCCATCGGCAAACTGAGATTCCCCGACACAAGGTCAGACACACAGGGAGGCTTTCCGAGCTTCACTGTAAAAACAAACAAATATAAACACACACACACACACAAACAAACAAACACCCCCCCTACACACACACACACACACACACACACACTGAGAGGAGTGAAGATGGGGGGAAGGAAACAGAAAAGTTGACCTAAAAATTCTCTTTTCCCCCGAGGGTTTAGGGAGGAACGTCGAAGAGGAAAGAGTGGGCTAGATTTTCTGATTTATCAGAGGAAGATATCGTGCTCCTTATCAGACTGTGACCCAATGCAGTAAATAAGGGTTTGGGTATCAGTGTTTACTCTGTTAATGAAAAGGGGGCACGATTCTTGGAAGTGTTTCAGGCCACTTTGCAGACTTAAATGTGCAGCATGAGTCAAAAATCAGCACTGGAGTATCCAAGCTAAATGTGAAAAAGCTAAAATAATCAGATTCTTTCAAAACAAGTGAAAACGGGTGCAGCACAGTCATTTCACCACAGGAACCTTCCACAGTTAAGAGGTCTTTTTTTGGTAACTTGCTGAACGTTTTTTGTCTGATTTCAAGACACTGATACTTACTCTTGAATAATTTGTCTTTGGACTGTGTTGGAGATGGATTAAAATAACCAGCATGTTTTTATGGAGATTTTAAGTCTTTTTTGCAGTGTAAAGACTTAATACACTCATTTTATATCATTTTTGTGTCAGAAAGTCAAACATTCAAAAGACTTCTACAATAAACGAAACAAACAGGTTATTTGTCACATAAATAAACGGTTTTAGCTCAAACATGCGACATTTAAAAGTGGAAGACAAAGAAATGGAGAGGAACCACTGAATATTAACAAAACAAAACGAGTGGATGGTAAAAAAGGAATAGAAGAAAAATGGATCTGACGGGACAAACAGAAACGGAGCGGAGCCGACCAATACCTTTCCTCCTTGCTGCAGTTAGCGTTTGTGATATCCAAGCTTTTACTGAACACAGATTTGCTAAAAAGGGGGCAGACAGAAAAAACCGAGAGACAAACAGAAAGGTTGTCACGTAAGGGGAGGCTAATGTTGATCATGCATCAAAAACAAACACTAGAAAATAAAAATAAAAACACAAAAAAATAAAAGGAAACACAGTAACTCATGCACAGGTCCAGAAACCAGGAGAAGGAACACGTTCATGGGTCATGCATGAGTCCTTTCATTTATTTAACTATTGTCGAATGTGAGGAGAGACCCTCACACAGTGGCTAAAAAGGCTCAAAATGCAAAACCTATGTCCTGATAGGCAGTTTAAACAAAAGACACATGCCTTATCGTATGCTGTACATTTTAAAGGCATTTTTTTCACGTGAATGAACAAGATGCTGAAAAGCTTGTTCATGCGTCTTTATAAAGGTCTTCCCTTGTAGACCGAAAACTCACCTGTTTTGACGGCATCTTTTACTAACAAAAATAAAGAACTCTCTTCTGTACGTAGCATTTACAAAGGATTTGGCTTTAAATGGAGCTAATGCAGTAGCACTTAATCTGGTTGGGCTTATAGACAGGAAATGTACCTGCAGGATTCTTGCTTTTGAGTTTGTTTCTTCATGGTTGAATGCACTTATTCTAAGTCGTCTTACAAAAAGTAAATTGAGAAACCACGGGTTCTTTAGGACTACGCTGCCAGGATTTTAACAAGAAATACCGAGCACTTTACTCCGGTTTTAGCTTCAGTGCATTGGCTCCCTGTATCTTTTAAAGAGTCCCTATTTAAGCAAATGTTCAGATTCCTTTTAGTAGTAAGACTCTACTGGGACATTTCTCCATACTTTAATGTTCAAAAAGCTCTTTATTTTTCTCATACTGCCTGTTGTGATTGGTCAACAGCTAGGAGTGCTAGCCAATAGAAGCATGAGTGTTAGTGATGTCATGATGTTCCAGAAGTAAACAAAGGAGTCCAAAGGAGGCGTTTCAGGCCTAAATCGACCTATCGAAGCACTTTGAGCTGCATCCTGTGTATGAAAATATCTCTTTATTATTATTATTATTATTATTATTATCATTAAACAGGGATGCTTCTTCTCCTCTTTGACTGCATGCTCCATGCACACTTAGACATACACCACGCACAAACCTGAGTCTTGTTCATGCATTTTAACCCATTTTTTTAAGGATTTTTGCAGATCTAACAGCCCTCTGAACAGGAGTTAATGTCAGGTCTCAAACTTTACATCAGCAGGGACAGAGCCAGAACGATGCGTCATGTTTTAACTGCAGTTCGGTGAAGGAGGGAAGGATTTACGACTGAGGACAACAGTCGGGGAAGTGGACTTTTAATTTAAAAAACAACGGGTTATTACCTCTCTTCACCGAACTGAGGTTAAATACATTATTTAACCCGACAGCCATCTTTAATGTGTGCATGTCTCACCTCTGGCCGTGGGTTGCCATGTCGATGGCTCTTCGTACGGGGACCGGGGACCCCCCCTCCATGACGCACAGCACCTCCATGGACTTCCTCTCCGGCCTCCGTTTACCGTGCCGGCTCAGCATCGGGGAATCCACGCGCTTCCTCGGAGGGTCTGCTGAGCAACGGCAGGTCGAAGGTCAACAGAGGGACGACAAATAGGAGAGAGAGTAGTCAGGAAACTGTAGCTTTTCACTATATAGGAAAACATTTCTGAAAATATCGGAAACATGCCCATAAAAGTATGTCAAAGTGTCTTCAGAATTATGTAAAACATTTCTAAAAAGTAAGTGAGAAACGTTGAAGTATTTTGGAATTTCTTTTTGAAATGTTGGAACTAAATATGTGAAAATAATGTCTGACAAATACTCAGAAAATATATAGAAAATGTCCAAAGAAGGTGGGAAAATGTCAGAAAATTGAATGAAATTGTATTAAAAACATTGAAAAAAAATATGTGAATTAAAGTTTGGAAAATATGAAAAAAAATACTTATAGCAAGTACAAAACAAAAGATTTCAAAAAGGGTCAGACAGGTTTTAGCTTTTTTCCCCAAAAGTATTCAGATTTTTTTTGTTGAAAAGTGTCCAAATGTAAGTGAAAATTGTCCAAAAAAAGTTTGGAACAGTTTCGAAAACCTTTGTTGAAAATAAAAAAAATAAAAATGTTTAGTGACTTTCCAAAGAATTAAGTGAAACATTGAAGAAAAGTGACAGCTACAAACTTCTGAATGTCAGCAGATAAATGTTATGTTGTGTATTTCCTCCAGATAGACCTACCGATCTCGGTGCGTGCCGGCAGGTTCTGGTCCTCCTGACTCGGATACCTCTCCTTTCGGTCCAGCAGCAGGAAGTAGATCATCTTCTCCTGGTTTTCTCTGCAGAGAGGAGAGTGAGGGTCCGTTAGTTAAGAACGGGACAGGAAGACAAACTGTCATCAAACTGTCAAACTGACAAAATTCATTTGTCTGCTCCTCTCCCGATGAGAACAATGTCCTAATAATATGCAAAACATATTTCAATTTTAGAATAATATAAGAAAATGCAAGAAAATAAGGAACATTTTAAACAGACAGCAGGGAACTACTTTTCCCCAAAAAATGTGTAAAAAATATTTGTAAATGTTTCGATAGTTTCGCAGAAAAGTTGCAAAATGTCCACATTAAGTGGAAGACGCTTGGATGTGATATGTTTAAAGTATTGTTTGAAAAGTAAAAAAAAGTCAATAAATAAATAATAAAATAAACGTAACTGCAGCAAAATAGAACTTCAAATTCTGAAAGTTTTCAAAAAATAGGTTCAAAATCTACAAAGATATAAAATATGTGAAAAATTTCACGAAACAAAAATGTAAAGAATATGCGAATATAAGTGAAATCTGTGCTCTTCACTCACTCCTCCGACAGCATGTCTTTGAGGAGCTTCTCCTTGTCTCTGAAGCAGCCGAGCGAGTGCATGCTCTCCAAGACGTCCGGGTCGATCTCCTCGGCCGCGGCCAGCGACCGGATGGCCACCTTCCTCGGGACGGGCTGCTCCGGCTCGGGCTCGTTCTTCCCCGCTCTGCAGCAGGAACAAAGAAAACTACATCTGAGTGGATGTAATATATAGATTTTGGATTATAACAGAAAAGAATCTCTGCGTCAAACAAACGTTTATGATAGTCACAAGTTTAGTTCAGCAGGATAATCTCCACATATTAACACCACTTTATGATTTCTGAAGCAAAATGCTAATGTTGGGCTATAAAGGAACTACAGCACGGTCACATGACTTCACGTCACCACCGCTAAGCTAAAGGCGGATAATGTTGGGCTATAAAGGAACTACAGCACGGTCACATGACTTCACGTCACCACCTCTAAGCTAAAGGCGGCTAATGTTGGGCTATAAAGGAACTACAGCACGGTCACATGACTTCACGTCACCACCGCTAAGCTAAAGGTGGCTAATGTTGGGCTATAAAGGAACTACAGCATGGTCACATGACTTCACGTCACCACCGCTAAGCTAAAGGTGGCTAATGTTGGGCTATAAAGGAACTACAGCACGGTCACATGACTTCACGTCACCACCGCTAAGCTAAAGGCGGCTAATGTTGGGCTATAAAGGAACTACAGCACGGTCACATGACTTCACGTCACCACCGCTAAGCTAAAGGTGGCTAATGTTGGGCTATAAAGGAACTACAGCACGGTCACATGACTTCACGTCACCACCGCTAAGCTAAAGGAGGCTAATGTTGGTTGTGATGACGTTTAGTCGTCTCATTTAGACACTTGTTAGCAACAGCCCTTTCTAAATTCACCATTGGGGTATTTACTGATGTATTTTATGTTGTAGAACCAAATGTTAAAATCTCTTATCTTATCTTATTTCAACAACCCAAAACACATTCAGAAAACCATTGACTTCTGTTGGAGAAAATACAAGGTGTCTTCTTTATTGTGGGTTTTCTGATGGGCATGATACTGTGTGTGACTTTGCACTGTGTGACCTCGCAGCTGCCTCTTCGTAGATAGGAGAAGGCAGGGCTTAATTCATGTTGTTGATACCAACGAGAGCACACACACTTTGTCTCCTCTCCTCTTTGAGGGGCAAAGAGCAACACTGCCTTTCCAGAGATGTCCCGACGCCTTCCCGACACCTGATGACGCCAAACCGATTTACGACACTGTTTGGTACCTCCTGACTTTAGACTATATAAGCTTGATGTTACTTCCTGCTCCCTTGAGCAGCATACCTCATGTGTGTGAGTTGAACCATATCCTTTGTATGTGACTTAACTCTGCTCCTTCTTGCAAGAATAAATTAGTACTTGACTATTGATTCTCAACCCGGTGTCGAGTGATATTTTAACAACTTCCAGATCAGACAATCAACACAGACAGATAATAATAACATCATGATTTACTTACAGGTACCACGTATGCTTCTGGATCTGCTCTAACTGTAACACAAAGGAGAGGAAACAAACATTAATGACACTTTTTATTGATAAGGAACACAATAAAAGATAAAATGCAAGTAAAAATAACCGCTGTTATTGAGCTTTGCATTAATGAATATCCATGAATCACATGTTTATAAGATGTACAGACACTGCAGCTCCACAGACAGAACACCAGTGAGAGCACACTGTTTAAAAACAGCCTTTTGTGAAGTTTCTATTCTGAGACAAAAATAAAACCTGGGCCTGAGATAAAAAGATGATGCAGATGTTAGTCATGCTGCTAAGATTAGCCCAGACAGTGGAGATAGGAAAGGAGGCGCAGGAGTTTAGAGAAGGAGTTACAGAAGGAGTTAGAGAAGGAGTTACAGAAGGAGTTACAGAAGGAGTTACAAAAGGAGTTACAGAAGGAGTCACAGAATAAACCTCAAATTCTTTGCTCTGGCTTTTAATAGTTGAACAAAACATTTTTACATTTGTATGTGTTTTTATATGTTTCTAGTTATTGTGCTTCTTATCATGTTTTTAATGATTGTCTGATTATTTTACTCCCATTGTGTTATTCTATATTGTATGTATTCCCTGTACAGCACTTTGGTCAACTGAGGTTGTTTTAAATGTTCTATATAAATAAATAAAGATTGAGATTGAGGGTCTCACCGTGAGCCTCTTGCCGGCGTCCACCTCGATCATCCCCTTGAGGAGGTTCTGACAGTCCGGAGGGATGAAGTGAGGCATGTGGAAAACTCCCAGCTTCACTTTCTCCAGGAGGTTCCTCAGGTTATCATCGTCGAAGGGCAGAGCGCCCTGCAGGAGGAGGAGGAGGAGGAGGAGGAGGAAGAGGAATCAGAATCACTTTACTAGTCCCGCAGCAGTGACATTTACAGTGGCATAGGAAACGTGGCATAGTAAAAAAAAGTGTCTGTATTGCACATTGCAGGTTTTTTGCACACGATTGTAACAGTTCGTATTACAAGGGGGAGAAGGAAGAGAGGAAATATATTCAACAGGAGAGAGAACATATTGACAATTTGATTTAAAATATTTACTCAAAGTACTTTTTTTAAACCAGATCTTTTACAATCAACACACAATATAGCGAGAAATACATAATTATTTACCTTCTTATTTAAAGTTGCTTCTATCAGCAGGCTTTTTGTGGCAGATAGAGTAAGTCTAAAACTCTATTCTATAACAAAAGCCTATAACAACAATTCAGAGGTGCACAAAATAAATAAGTGATGTGACTTCTAGTATGTTCACCCTCACTCCTGCACAACTTCAGCGAGTAAAAACTGGCTTTAAGTCACTAATATTTTAGATCCAAAGATTCTGACGTGAATAAACCTCCGTTGGATAATTGATCCAGAAGTCAGGCAGATGAGGCTAACATATTCAACGAAACAACCACTCTATATCTGATACCTCGAAATAAAGAGGTTAACAAGAGTAATGCAATACTTTTACATTATTTCCCCTTAAATAAGGGAGGACTGAGGGCATAATATCTTCATTACACTCTGAGCAAATCTCGGACACTTGCAGGTCAAAAATATAAAGAATTAACCCAGAGAAAATGCCCCTTCCAATCAAATTGTCGCAACTTCCTTTCTTACTTTCTGTCACTATTGATGCCTTTTAAAACATTTCCAACACGTTATCTTTCAAGTTATTAGCTACTTACAGCTTTCTGTGGTTAATCAAAAATAAAATAAATAAAACAAGTGTTTAAAAGAGTCAAATCCAAAATTATAAAACAAAACTTGTCTTTCTTTCTGTTAGATGATAAAGTTAAATAATTCAATGGTTAAGTCTTGTTGATATCTTTGACACAGGTTGCCCCTTTCTGTGTCTTAATACATATAAAACACTGGCATTAACTCCTGTTGTCAGGTACATTTCTGTCACTGAGAAATAACAAGGACTTTTTTAAGGATGCCGGTTACGGGTGAGATCAGAGTCAGCGATGACGAGGCAGTTTCAGTGACGTGATGAAGGACAGTTTCCTCCTCACTGAGAGGCTGGCAGCAGATGGCCACCGACACACTGACAAAGTGGAGAGATTTATCTGAACGTGATGAGTGTGTTGAGTGCTCCCTCTTAATGTAGAAACTATAACACATGCACATAAACAAACATGTCGTCTAGCTGCTGCCTCTCACTCGTCACTGTCCCATTAAAGAGCTGCTGTGGGAAGCTGTAGTTGTGATGTGTGTTTTTCTAAATGGGAAAATACACAACAAGAGGCTAATGACTCTGAGTCTGCAATACAGAGAATATTTCAAATGGGAACTACTACTTTCAGTCTGTGACGGAAGATGTGTAGACTTCCTGCTGTCCTGATTATGTTTCATATATATATAGCGCTTTGCTAAATATGTAAAGTTGCATACAGTTAATCATTAATATAATTAAGCTTCCATTAATTGTATCATGTCTTTTAACACTTAGAAATATGGGATATAAAAGGTCAGGGGCATCTTTGTTCTCCTTTATTTATAATGTGGTTTAAATGTTTTATATGTACACGCAGGTCTTTCCGGCATCCTTTAATTCAATCCCACTCGGTGTAAAACAAGAAGACCTTTAAGACATTACAGCATCTCTTAGACTTGAGTGACGTTGTATAAATGTTGGATTTATGTATATATTACACACATTTCATGTCTTAAATGTCGAAGGGGGCACTTCAGCTTTATTAAATGTCATATTTTGTGTTTAGTGCGTCTTTGTGTGTTTACATTATTGCAATCAGTTAAAGGTAGGGTAGGTAAGAATGGAGAAACCAGCTCGAGTGCGCTAGAATTTGAAAGTACGCAGCCCGAAAAAATCTGCCCCTTCCTTCAGACTTCCTTACAGAGCCCCTCCTCCAACACACACGAACGCGCACATGACCAATGAGGGCACGAGATAAGTTTGTGCACAGATGGAAGGCTGACAGGCAGGTAGGCCATCCAGTTATTTTAGCCGGGCCGGCTAAAATGATAGGTCGTGCTTTTTACAGTACTACGGCTTCCACAGATGACATTTTTTAATGTATTTATTTTCAAAGCATTTCATATATTCATTGCTATCGGGATGTTAAGAGCCTTCCATGGAATATAACAAAAAGTGTTTCTGAAGTGAATTACCTACCCCACCTTTAATATCACTTTCAACTTATCATCTTTTAACACTTCAGTCTGCTGTCCTGCGATTATATGCCACAGTTTACCAGAGATAGTGAAAAAAGCACCACTTTGTTGAGAATCGAGAACAACTTTCAGGTATAGCTTTGAACCCTGAATCAAGGATATCAGATTTACACCATTACCTTCGTATAAGGTGATAAAATAATATAAAAGGAACAATTATATTCTAAACAAAAACATTTCTGATAGTGTGACATACTGATGTTAGCCTGACCACAGTACAATCTTTAAAAAATCCAGTTATTCAGTAACTCAACATTTAAACTACCGGATGACATAACTATAAAGTGGTCCAGTATTCATTCATTTGAAAAGCAGTATTTTTGATGGGACACTTCCACTTTAAGGAGTGAGTTCAGGTTATTTGCTGCAGTTTAGTCACTCACCACTAAAAGTGCAAACAGGATGACTCCGCAGCTCCATGCGTCTGCTTTCCTGCCGTCATACTTCTCCCCCTGAAACACAAACACACTCACATCACAACCTCTCCTTTTAATACTTTCACAAAACTGTAAATCACCCTGCTGCTCTGAGCTTTGGCTACTCGCTGTTCTTAATGGAAGAATCTGTATATAAATAGATAATCACACAACGTAACGTCAGTGATTTGCGAGGCTGATGCACTGCAGGAGTAATTTATGGACGAGGGTTTTTTTCTCCACCTCGTCTACCTGATTAGTTTCCTGAGTTTTAAAAAGTGACTTGGACAGGAATAGATCTGAGTTTAGACTTTAGTAACCAAGTACGATTACTTTTACGTCACGTGAGTGTTTTCTCTCAGTCTGTTACTTTATAAGTCTACTGCACTTTGGAAGCCACTATTGGTACTTTGGTATATTTTGATGTTACGGCTTTTTAATGCAGTAATATTACTTGTAAGAGAGTGCTTCTACACTGTAGTATTTTAGTTTTTTTGTAGTAAAGTAAAAGTTTTGTGGCTGTTGTTTTCTTTAAAAACATGTTCTTTTTTTTATAGAAAACTTGAAATCACTTTTTAAAAAACAGTGGTTATTTAGCGTTTTCTCTCCTTTTTTGGATAACCAAAACAGAAAAGGAATTGAGGAGAGTTACTGGGAGGAAAGGGGTCAGATTTTTCTACAGAATTCTTTTTGTAAATACAGAAACAAAAACAAGAACTGCATGTGTTTAAGCAGAAATAAAGTCTTGAGTGGCAGCAAACAGAAAATTGTGAAGGGAAATAACGAATCAGATTTGTCCAGTTTTCTACAAGAAAATGCAGAGACAAAAATGGCAAAAAAAGCACAACTGTATTTTAAATAGATAATAAATAAATAAAAAAGGTACCGATATGTGACACTCTTGTTTAGAAAACAAAAGATAAATTAAGAAGTGTAACAGGGGAAAAGAGAATCCGATTGGTCCCGTTTTCTACATAATAAACAGGAAGAAATTGAGATAGAAATGCACGGCTGCCTCCCAACCAGCTGATGATTTTAATCGTGTATAAAGTGAGTTTGTGAGAGCAGAGAGGATGCAGCGTGATGCAAGAGCCTCTCTGCAGAGTGCACGCAAGACACTGAGAGAGGAGCACTTACCCTGATCACCTCTGGGCAGGCGTAGTGCGGAGACCTGGAACACAAGCAGAAACATACTGAAAACAGCATTACACAACACACACACACACACACACACACACACACACACACACACACACACACACACACACACACACACACACACACACACACACACACACACACACACACACACACACACACACACACACACACACACACACACACACACACACACACACACACACACACACACACACACACACACACACACACACACACACACACACACACACACACACACACACCAAGGATGGAGGAGAATGTCTGAAGAAAATATGAAATGCTTTTCACCCAAAAAACCTTTTTTATTTCCTGACGTGGATTACTTTGTATTTAGCTAAGTGAGAGTTACATCACAGGAAATGTCCCCAATCCAAAATCCAGAGGATGCTCATCCTGTTGGATAACATGTGACACCGTTTCATCCACAGGGGAGGGAAGTTATTTAATCAAAATTAAGTTTTAACCGTGAGTTACGAGGCTGTTTTATAAGAGGATTTACATCCCGTCCCGTACGACATCTCAACACCTCTCTATCTGAAACCTCTGGTATGATTAACAGAAGCTAAACTAAAGATGATATACATTTATCTAAAAGTGTGTATCAGTTTAAGTACAATGACTGAGATTAAAGCATGCTTTGTGTTTCTGTTAAATACAAATCTATAGACTTGATATTCCCATGCCTTCAGAGAAACACACTGAAATCAGTATCTAACTTTCAATATACTAGTGTTTTTATTTTTGCATTATTTACTAAAGTTAATATTATTAATATTATTACTTATACATTGTATAATTATTATAATAATAATTATAATTATATTTTAATATTCATTCATTATATTTATATTGTTTCTTTATGTTAAAAAACTGCTTCTGGATTTAAGGAATATGATAAGGCATGTTTTTATGTTCTGTTTTATTTATACTCTCCTGTATGTTGAACAAAGCACATACTATACAAACTATATACATATATTAACTTATAAGGTAATAAATAAAAGTAAATAATATAAAGTAGCGTGTCAGGACTGGAGCTACAGACATGAAGTAAACTGCACATGATTTCCTCATCTTCTGAATAATAAAATGATAAAGTATTCCCACACTGCGAGGATCCATCCCAGCAACATGAAGCAGAGTGTGACGGCGTTTCACTGAAACTGAGTAAACACACTCCATCAGTGCCAGCGTCATGTTCATTATGCTAATGTGAACCAGTCCATGTGAAATACTCAAACACACTAACTGAGATCTAATGACACCACATGTTCGTCTGGCTGCAGGCGACGTCTGCGTCATCGTCACTCAGTAACATTTAATGAATTTCATTAACGTCACAGGAGGAGGAAGAGTCATGTGACCTGTTACTCACAGCAGATATGTACAGATCCATCAGAGGAGCTTCATAAACAACTGTTTGAATTAGTGAAAAGTAATCTGACGGATGGACTTTGCACTAACCTCTGTGTTATGTTGCATTAAAGTAAACTTTTAAACTTTACACGCATCTGCACACAGCCCCCGGCAATTATTCCACACAATTAGCAACGAGATTTAAATGTTAAGGTAATGGTAAGATCATGTGATCAGGTGAAACCAGTCAAAAGTGAACACGAGACTTGATTGAGATAAGACTAATTCACTGTTCAAAAAGCTCTTTATTTGTCTCGTACTGCCTGTGCTGCAGCACCTCTTTTCACCCTCTGTCTGAAACCAGAGCCCAGTCTGCTCTGATTGGTTAGCTGGCTGGCCCTGTTGTGATTGGTCAACCACTTAGAGATGTCCCGCCCCTTAGCCTATCATGTACAATGTGTTGGAACGCTAGCCAATAGAAGCATAGGGACGTCACTATGTTCAGGAAGTAAACAAAGGAGTCCAATGGAGGCGTTTCAGGCAAACCTATACAACACACTACAGCAGCCTTTTTTAAATCTGTTGAAAGAGCAGTTAGATTCATTCTGGATGAAAAAGAAACATTCTCTTTTCAACAAACACTGGTCAATTTTAACATAAATCTACGTAACATTATGACTTTTAAAACACCAAATTATTCTAACAATCAAACGTCTAGTGTGTCATAAGCTATTGTCTGTTTGCAATTGCATTTTATTGCATTTTATTGCATTTTATTGCATTTTATTGCATTTTATTGTATTTTTCTACTTCATGTTTAGTGTGGGGGAAACTTCTGTAGCCATGGAGAGTCAGGACTCAGAGAGACACGAGGAGAGCTGGAGCTTTGATGGCAAACACTGATGGTTTATTTGGAGTTACGGCCGGAGAGTTGACAAGACAGGTGGTGTGTCACGAGTTGACACAGCGGTTACCAAACCAATTCTGAAGAACTCTTTCTGTAGCTCGAGGTTTTAACTAGTTCGGAGTGTAATAATCAACATTCTTCATCAGCGAGACTAAACTATTATGGACCCTGAATCTAACTAGAGCTCTCGTCCATAGAAAATAATGTGCGGCAGGGAACCTTCGTCCCTGAACAGTAAACTGCCTCATGGCGGCTTGTGCTCGGTCATAGACTGGCAACAACAATGCGCCCAAGCTGCTCCTCCTTAAGAGAGATAGCAGCAATACCCAAGGCTGTAGACCTATGCCATGGGAAAGGAGACAGTGAGAAGAGAAAATGATGAACTGTGTCAAAGGTTGAATACCTAAGCAAATTATTCCCTAACATTTAGTATATTGTACGTTGCTTAGTTGGAGAAGACTTTAGATCCTTATTCGCAAAAATACGCTACGGCGATTCAGCAAATAACTAATAGCCTTTGAATTTTTTTTAGCAGTACAAGCACACTTACTGTAGTTTCATAGGAGTAATCACAATAAAAACTGAAATAGTAAGCACATTTGTAAAGAAAATAAGATGGATATTACAGAAAGTTCTCTGCTGCATTAGTGCCTGTATTTCTTTCATTAATAAGGATTATACTAAAGGCAGGCGGTTCATTTTGTAACTTCCTGTTCCTCTCGTGCTTCGTGCAGCACTTTTGGAGCCGGAGGACTGGAGTTTTATCTTTTCCACATCAGCGACTCAGAAACACATCGGACCAGCCGGCATCCTGCAGAGCTTTAAACAGCCTGAGGAACAACAAGCAGGACCTGAAACTGAACCTTTCTACTGTCTCCGGAACGGCTTATCACGACAGCCAAGACATGTAAGAGGAGACACTACAGTGGACATATTTAAAACATATTAAGCTTTCTTAACATGTCTGTTTTTCATGTGTTTTGGGAAATATTACAACAGTTTTTCCTAAAATCTATTTGTATATTCCTTTCCCGATATTTAACTTTACTTTTTTGGAATTTGTTCAATCTTTTTTTAAATGTCTTAAATATTACAACTTTTTTTCTAGAAAATTCTAATGTTATGGTTATTTTTCATGATATTTGATCACTTTTTATTAGATAACAAATCTGAATTAATAAACATAATCTTTAGAAATATTACAAGAGTTTTTACTAAAAATGTAATATATTTATTTCTCCAGATATTTCACTTTAATCATATTTTCCCGACTTTAAATCATCAAATATTACAACCTCTTCTAATCTAATCAGCTTTCATTCTTGGTATTTGAATGTATTTTTTCAACTATTGGTCACCAAATAATACAACCTTTATCTATAAAAAAAAATCGGATTATTTTATGGTCTAAATATCAAACATTTTATTGAATTATTACCACTTTTAATCAAATGTTTTTCTCAAAATTAGACTTTCTCCTCATCTCTCAGCAGAAATCTCCATTCAGTAGCACTTACACACACCAAACCAAATACACTTTCATTCCTTTCTACATTGTAAAGCTTTTCACACCCTTCACATACTCATTAATACACACTTTGTTAATGAAAACATGCAGACGATTTGAGGTTTCACTGACCCGCAGCTGGTCTCCAGCAGACTGTCCCCGACCTGCAGAGACGCCATGCCGAAGTCTGCGATCCTGATGTTGTTCTTCTCGTCTAACAACAAGTTCTCGGGCTTCAAATCTCGGTGGCTGCAGAGGGAACAGAGAAGACATTTTACATTTTGAACCTCTCAAAAACATCATGTGCGATTTCCTGTTTTGGGCTGTTTCATAGTATGGACGAATGTGTATATGTCCAATTTTTCATTTGGACCCGTGAAGAATTCTAAGATAAATAAAAAGTCTCATTTGTGTTCGGATATCTAAGACATACGATATTAAAAGGAAAATGGACTTGCTGAACATTACTCAAAGTCATTTTGCTTCCTATCCAAAACATCCCTCACTTTTGGAACAGCTCTGTAAGTGGAAGTCCTCTTTTGTGGAAGAAGTATATGGAAAGATTAATAAAAGAACACACAAAGTAGCAGAAGATTTTATCACGTAAGAGTCTGAGAAATCCTTGTTATTCAACCAGACTTATAAAAGCAGAGACAAAGACTGATCTATTCCTCAGAGATTGGCCGTGAACCTGACGACCATTTAGCTTTCTCTCCTTTGTTGGACTTTCATTTGAAATTATATTTGAATACCTTCTGACATTTGTAGTCACTTATTTCTTCAACCTTTCAAGGCGGAAACAATTAGTGCTGAAAGGATTCACACCTACGCCGTGCTAAAATCTATTTAATTAAAGGTCATCTATCATGCTATTTTTAGGCAATAGCATAGGTCTCAGATATATAAAAAAATATTAAAAACATGTCTATGAAGTGTTTTGCTCAAAATAACAAACAGATCAGCCATTCTAGCCATGCCTCATATCCCTCTATTTCACTTCCTGTTTCAAAAGTGCTGATTTGGGGTATAAAGCTTTTTTATTTTTAAATTGATAACAAATAAAAAAGGAGGGGGCTGAGCTCATGCGGGACCCGGCAGCTACTGTCTAAACTAAATGCTGCTGTGATGAAACGCCATATCATGGATTATCAAGGATTATTTCTGAAACAGTATGGAGCTCAAAGGCTTTCTCTCTTGCCGGTTATACCACAAGGTGAGTTCCTTTTTATTTCCTGCTTCTTCACACACATGCTCTCCAGTACAGGTCAGCTCTGAGTGTTAGCGATGCTAATGTAAACACCGACCATATTACGTCCAAAATAGTCGGGCATTGTTTCTGATAGGGCCGTGGGTGTAAAGCCAGCCTACATTTCCGATATTACGTCATATCGGACGCAAATCTCGATCAGCTCCGTTGTAGCCCCGTTTTTAGAGATTTGGGTACGGAGGAAAAAAGAGAGGGTTTTATTTTCTGACGCTGCGTGAATTCCCTGACACACCAGGGACACATATTTATGTATAAAAGACATCAAAAAGTGCATTTTGCATGATAGGTCCCCTTTAATGTCCAATAATCAAGAACTGACACACTCCAGGTTTAAAGGAGGTTCAGGATAACAGATACAAGATATGAAGATAGAAAGGAAGAAATACTCAGATTTTTTATTTAATTAAGAGTAGTAGTTTTCTCTTTTTTTTCCAAATCTGTTATATATTTGCTATAACTTTCATTTTTTATTTTTGAACTTAATTATTATAATTGTTTGGGCATTAGTCAAACATTTTTGAAAAATATAAACAGTTTTCCCCCCAAAAAAAAACTATATTTATATATATATATGTATAACATATAGCCATATATAAATATTTAACTTTGTTTTCTTTTTTAACACAAATACTATAATATTTAAATATTACAACTTATTTCAACAATATATTTCTTACTCCAGATATATCCCTTTTCTCATAGTTTTTTTTATAATAATTATTAGAAGATAATAATATGTAGTAATTAATGTTGCATTAATAAATCCATAACACACAAAGGACTGTTTAGGTCCTGCAGACTTGTGTGTTTTCTAACTAACTAAATTCTGTAAAGTCTCTGAATGAGTGTGCTGAATATTCCCCCCTGCAGTCCCTCAGTATTCTCATGATCTGAACCATAAAGAAGGTGTCTCTCTGCCCGTCTCTCTCTCTCTGTTTGCTTCTGCCGGATAAATGATCTCTCTTTGTGTCAGATTGGAAAGTGTTTCTCCCAGACTTCATAATTCACATGCAGTTTGCAGACAACGGTCCGTCAGCGGTGATAAATCAGGTGCAGCAGCAGATATTTGTGTAAATTCACACCCCCCCACCACCCATATTTTGTGCCTCTAAACAGAAATACATATTGTATGAGCCCACAAATTATCAGCCCTGACATTTCTGTTTCCCGTTTGGCCTGCACTAAATCACTAAACCTAAAGAAGGCTTGCACATCCTGTGTGTTTATTTTTAATGACCGTTAGGATTACGGCTAAATGCTTGATATTTATTGTTGTACATGAATAAGTTCTGCCAACATATAGAATCTACTATCAGAAAATCCTTCAACCAATACTAGATATTGATATAGTACTTGTCTAAGTATTTCATTATTAATTATATTTCCAAATTCATTGTCTATCATTCTTCATGAGACTATTTAATGAGACTACATTAACTAGCTATCATGCATCTTGTGTACAAAGGGGATCCCCAGAGGTGACTTGGTGTGAATAAAGTCATACTATTAATATAACAAATAGTATGATCAAATACGATAATAAATACGTATTTTGATGAATATAAAATCCTTCTGATAGCCATTGTAATGTTTTATTGAGCTAATACACAACGTTAACTGCAGGGCGATTTATTTACAACCCTATTTATGATTTTATGAACAGTAAAAGGCTAATTAATATTCATTTTCATTCATTATTGTTGACACCCGTACTAGCTCTTACTAATTACGCTTTTCCACTGCAGGTTTTGGTGCGGTTTGGTTTTGGTCGACCCGCTCTTTTTTGCTTTTCCACTAGGGGTAGTACCGGCTCACGGGTACATCGAGGTTCCAAGCGAGCTGAAAATATGCTAAACTAGTGACGTAAACACTCCCGACTGCTGATTGGTCAGAGAGAATCGTCACAATTGTTGCGCGAGATAATCCCCAAGCGTTGCATACAGTATATCAATCACCATTTTAAGAACCCTGGTAATGTGGTGCCCCGTTTGAGTCAAACTACAGTCATCACTATCGACACGTAAAGTGAAGCAGATAATCCCACCAAAAACATACCGTGTGAGAAAGAGCCAAAAGAAAAGTACAACGTTGAATATAACTGAACTAAAATGATGTATATTCTCCAAGATGTTTGTGTGTAAAGTTTACGCACCATATAGAGTGGCTGTGGCAGAAGTCCAGCGCGGAGATGATCTGTCTGAAGAACTTTCTGGCCTCTTTAGGTGTTAGTCGGCCCTTTTTCACCAGGTAGTCGAACAGCTCCCCCCCCGACACATGCTCCAGCACCAGGTACCTGCAGAGGGAAACACAAACATGTCAGCGAGGGAAAAGGACTGTATTTTCAGTAAACTCGTGCAAGTATTAAGGATTAAGGGTTATTTGTTAACTGAAGTTTTAACCTAAAGTAGTTGACAGCTCTAAAAGACAAAATGTCTCTTTTAGGGTTTGTACATTAAGGATATTTTAAGATCATATCTTTAAATAATAACTTTAGTTGAATTAAAAGAAAAAAGAAAACTGTAAAAGGTGTATGTTAAATAAGAACTATTATTTAAGTCACATAATTAGGAAAAAGGATAGATACATGGAGGAGAATAAAAGTAAACAAGCACAATATAAATAGCGAAACACAAATAAAATAAAAAGGCATCACTGGAGCAGAAAGTAGAAATGAAGATGAAATTAAAAAGATAACTGTATAGATGAATGTCAAATGAAGGTCATTTTAGTAGAATAAAAAACAAATAAATAAATAACTGTAATATAATTAAAATAATATGGTAGCATAAAAAGAACAAAATAGGTATAACTTTAGTTGGAAGATAACTATAGTGCATTAAATAAAATAAGTGTAGTAGAATAACATCAAAAAACTCAAAGTACACTGTAGTAATATTATAATAAAAAAGGAATAGATAACTATACTAGAAAAATAAGGAATAAGAAATGTTACTAGTAAATAAGACCCAAGTTCCCATCAGCAAAAACACGTGGGTTTGCTATCCTTGCTCCAAAATGGTGGAATGAGCTCCCCACTGACATCAGGACAGCAGAAAGCTTACACATCTTCCGGCGCAGACTGAAAACTCATCTCTTTCCACTCCACTTCGAGCAATAAAAAAAATAAAAAAATAATAACTTAGATACTAACTAAGCACTCATATACTAACAGAGCACTCATATACTAACTAAGCACTTACCAGCGACGTGCAGTCAGTGGAGGCAGGGGAGGCAGAGCCTCACCTGTCATACTCCAATGTAACGGAAAAACAATTAAAGAAAAACTAAATAGTAATAATAATAAAATGTCTCCACTGATCTTGTGTAAATGTGATTTCTGTATGATTCCAATCGCATTTTATAGTCAAAATCAGCAAATTTGCCGAGCTCCGCTACGGGAGCGATGAGAAGTGAGGCAGGCACGAGCTCTGCCTCTCGTAAGCCCACAGTAACTTGCTGGAGCGCGGGCACTAATTTAGCGCGGCCACTTATTTTGTGAGCGCGCTCAAGTCATTTACTGTGGGGTAAGGTGAGGCACAGATGAGATCTGCCTCACCTCAGAATGCGTCACCCCACAGAAACTGGCTGGAAAGCGGGCCCTAAGCGCATGCCTGTTCCCATCTCACTGTAGGTCACCAATGTAATGTTTGTAGATCCCTTTATTACATTTATCCTCGCCATCCATAGTCTCTAAATAACTTATTTCACGTATATATGATATTTAGGCTCGCTACACATATACAACGGCAATGAAAAAATCACAAGGGGAGGCAGCCATAACCTCTGCCGCACTGAAGGGGGCGCACGTGAGCCCACAGGTTCTTGTTGCTACTGTTATTCTACCGCAAACAACAAACTAGACTTTTGAAACTACAGGAAGATAAGGAGGACTTTTACAAAAAAGTAATAGAGATTGTTGTCCAGAAGGATAGCATGGACTTCTATTCATCTTCAAGTCAAGGTAAGACCACAACTGTAATGAAAATGGGATCTTACTTAGAAAGAACAATCCAATATTTAGATTTTGGGTATCCTTTTGTTGATCGGTCTGTTTAAAATTAATCATAGCATCAGACTAAAAAAGCTTTTGAAAATAACAGAATATTTCGATTAAGGTCAAAATAGGCTATAATATTTGTAAATCTGACTCTGAAAGAGTCAGTGCCTCACCAGCCATGAACCTCACCGCACGTCACTGGCACTTACATATTAACAAAGCACTTATATACTAACAAAGGACTGGCTTATCTAAAGCCAGTTGAGTAGCACTTGAAATGTTTTGGCTCTATGAAACCTGATGTACTTATATGATTCTGTTTTCTTCAAGTTTGTATCTTCTTGGTCGAATGCACTTATTGTAAGTCGCTTTGGATAAAAGCGTCAGCTAAATGAAATGTAATAATGTAATGTAATATAAGTGTAAAAGAGGGGGCAGCAATTTCCCTTTGAAACAAAGTCTCAAAAAACCCCAGTAAAGTAACAGAACTTAAAAACTAAACTACCTCACCTTCGGGAGTAAATATCCTTAATCCCTAAATTAATTTCTCCTCAGAATAAAGGAGGCATTAATAAAAATAATTGAGTCATAAACTAGTATTTGTACACGACATGCTGAAGTTACCATATTGATTCTTAATGTAAATCCTGCAGAAATCCCTGCACTGTGTTAAGAGTGTGTGCCTGCGGTTTCAAATGTTTTATCTGTGTTCATTTTTCCCGGAGACATCCCTGATCCTGCTCCTGCCGCACGCTCCCCCTGCCAATGATTTATTAGCAGATTAAAGGATCTACTCGAGCGTTTTCTCCTCAAATTAGAAACGTGTGATTTGTGAAATTTCCCCCCGCAAACTGTTGACCATCCGTCCCTGTCCCTGCAACATTAAGAAAACAAATTCCCGCTCCGTTTGACGCCGCTGCCTTTATCAATTATTGAACATCGCATTAAGCCATGCCACTGGAGCGCAGCGGCCGCACGCAGCAGATTAATGTGTGCAATAAAACAGGATATACATTACAGATACACGGGAGAGGAGGACCAATAAAGCATCCCATGCCTTCATAAAACACACAAGCAGCTGCATGGAGGAACCGTGCACCAGTATGTGTTAACATGTTCTGCAGGGCACATCATTTTCATATCTTATAGATGTTGTTTGTTAGCTCAACTTCAATCTGAACTGTTCGCACACATTTTAAAGAGGCCCGGTTCTGTTTTCAGGGGTTTTTCCCTTTCCTGTAGTTTGTTCTACAGGATAGGTGTGTATGTCTAGTTTGCTAACGTTAGTGCAGGTCGCCACTGGATTGGATGGAATTTAGCAACACAGACTTAGCGCTTCTGTCCTGGTCTAAAGACATTCTTAGTCGATTAAAACAAGATTTTGTCCATGGTTAATTTAATCTACAGATCTGTAAAACTTATTTTATACTGTACCCAGGCAACTCTTCACTTTCAGTCTAATCTACTGAAGAAATACAAGTCCAATAAGAACAAACTACTTTACCGAAGTTAGGCTTTTAGAAATGTAATGGTATATTCACAGAAATGTTGTACCAATCAGTTTGTGCAAAATATAAACTCTAACTACAAAAGATAAAATATATTGGGGAAATACACACCGTTGGCCATCGGGAGCAACTAAGGGTTCAGTATCTTGCCCAAGGACACATCGACATGTTGTCGCCCCAAATATAAATTGTATTTTATTGTCAGTTAACCAATCATCTCTCAGAGGGGTGTGGCCAGCAGCAGCTCATTAGCATTTAAAGCTACAGACACAGAATCAGCACTTTTGAAACAGGGCTGAAACAGAGGGGATTATGGGATGCTACAATGATCGGTTTGGTGTTTGGAGCCAAACACTTCAGAGACATGTTCTGTATATATCTGAGACCTATAATATATTGATGAAAAAGAGGATATTAGGGGACCTTTAAATTAAGAGTTACAGTGTGCATGCAGAAGGACAGATGTACTTACAGGTATTTCTTATTTTCATAGACGTCGTGCAGCTTTAAAACGTGGGGGTGCTCTATGAGTTTCAGAATGGCTATCTCCCGCTCCACCTGCAGAGAAACACAGGAGAAATAATCAGTTACACAAAAACACTCTGGGAAACAGACAGGACTGTTTTACTGGGCACCAAAATAATATTATCTCAAATTTGGAGTGGAGCTCTGCCATGATAATCCAATGAGATCCACGAGTAAACAGCAGCATTTTTTTTAATTGACAGAATCAGAAATGTATTTGACCCGCCGTAAATTGGGTTTTGTGACAGTTTCTGCATTTTAGAATAAAATAAAAGATACATTAAGACAAAGAGATAGGTTAGTTGTTGAGAATTGATGTTCATTATGTGTGAGAATTAAAGATGTATCTGTGTTGGTGAACTGTATTGTTTCCTTCTTATTTGTTGATAGTTATTTTATGTATTGTAGGTTTGACATTAGTCCAGTTTGACAGCCGGCCTCTGATCAGGATGAAAGTGGTTGGCAGCTGTAATTCAAATTCTGACCCTAGAGGCCGAACAACGAGCGATGTATCGACGTGAGTTTGTTGAGGATGTCGGATCAGTGTAACACGTTTCTGTTGAGAGAATCAATGGGTGTGAATCAGTGAGGATCGTTAACAGGTAATCAAACTGATCTCTGCTGAAACATCTCATTGATTTCAGATTCTCATCTCTGACGGGATTTAAATCACAATCAGTCATCTGACAATTATCATGCATCATATTTCTACAGTTAGATTAAAAGGGTTTGGGGACTTCTTTAATACCACTCGGATTGAAATTAATCAGGTATTCTCCTGTAGTGTGTTCTATAGGTTTTAGTGCATGTAAATGGTCTGCAAGGGCTAAAATCCCTGTGTGTCCCCCCCCCTGCCTGAATCGCCTCCATTGGACTTCTTTCTTTACTTCCAGGACATAGTGACATCACTATGTACCACTCACTCTACTATTGGCTAGCGCTCCAACACATTGTACCCGATAGGTTAAGCAGTTGACTATCACAACAGAAGAGTTTATAGACACAATTATTATTCTTCATTAGCCCACAAAATATATTTATTTAAACTCATAACAAAGCTGGTATTTTTTTGTAATTTTTAAGGAGTAACTTCAGGATTACTGCAGTTTAAAGCAAGTTGGATTTATGACTTTTTAATACCAATCTGGGTAAAAAATTAAGACGACTTGAATGCATTTTTTACACAGAAATGTATTTTTTTTTTAATCATAATTTCCAACTTGCCAGATAATTGTTAAGTATTTTGTAAGACAGATGTACTTTTATCTTTATTCAGATACTGTTGTATTTTTTTTCTCCCATTTTGACAATTACTTTCTTATCTAACATTACAAGTAAGTAATTTGTTATTAAAATCTATGTTTTGCTATGAAGTCTATGCTTTTGCTCTATAAAATCGCAGAAAATAGTAAAAAAAACTTCCATCGTAGTTCCTCAAAGTCCAAGACAATGTGTTTAAATATCTTGTTATCTGAGTCCAAAATTACAAATTCACTTGAATGTGATTTAAAACAGAGAAAGGCAATACATCTCAATTTTCTGACATTTTTACATAAGAAATCAATAAATGAATGGATTATTCATCTTTGAACCTAATAAATGTATTCTAAAATGTGAACATGTTTCCCCTGCAAGAAGCAGCTAAATCCACATCATAGCTTTAATAACCCAGACTCCCACCTGTGATATGACTAATATCTGTGATGCGTTCAGGTGCAGAGCATCAGCCCGTCCTCCTGCCATCTGATTTAATTACCCTCGACATCATCTCCTCATGTAGATGCACGGCGGAGGCTAATTAAACACATGTACCAGGAAAACACTCGTTCAGCCCCCTGCCCTCCGTGTGTGAGCAGCCACATTTATTAAGCTCCATTATGACCCATATGGCTCTTTAATATGTGTGATAAAGTGTGTGTGTGTGTGTGTGTGTGTGTGTGTGTGTGTGTGTGTGTGTGTGTGTGTGTGTGTGTGTGTGTGTGTGTGTGTGAGAGAGAAGGGTACGGGAGAAACATGATGGCTGTACAGCAGGAGGACAGCATAAAAAAGAAGAAACTAGAGGTCACTTTTAAAAGAAACCATTTTTAAACTTGGCCAATATCTCTGGATTTTCCATAATTTCTGTGAAAAAAAATGACCTGAAATGTTTAAGCGTAATGGAAGATGATGCACTTTTGCATTTTGCATATTGCTAAAATAAAAAAATAAACATAACACATCCCAATAATGGTAATGATGGGGCGCTATTGTGTTCATTTTCAGGTTCATATTTGTAATTTGTGTCGGGGGGGGGGGGGGGGGGGGAAACACAGGGATGTTAGCTATATAACACAGGAGAGGAAAAACCATTACAAAAAATGATAGGGCCTCTTTAAATGAGTTAAATAAGAACAGAAAATAGGCTGCTCAGGTGCAACTTCTCCATGTTTGTTCAACCTTATAATTCTGGATACGTAAGCAGCGTTGAAGTGTGAAGTGCGACAGCTGGAGGAGTGATGTGACCTCTGAAGGAGATCTGTGTCGTACAGTGACTCAGGCTTTGCAGTATAGACGGCTTCATGCTCAGTGAGTCAACTTTGCGACACGTCTTTACACACACCGACCTTCACTGGAGAGCAAAGGAGAAACTGGTGTGGTGCTAGATCTGTCTCTATTATTGACAATCGTTGTGTAAATGCAGACATAGACTACTACTGCATTCACATATATATATATATTTTAATATAGGAATTTGTTTGTATATTTGCAAGTTTGTGTTAAATTAGCTTATATTAGTTCATACAGTATGTTTTTTTTGCATTTATGGAAGGTGTTTTACATTGACATTTGCACATGTATCTTGGATTTGTTCACACAATTAATATGAGACATATTGACTTCCATATATGGTACTAATGAAAAACACATATTCTGCAAGTTCACACAAACACACACTCAGTCAGAAACTGTCATATCAAACACATGCTGCATCTTGCCTTAATATGCAAAACATATTGTGTATCATGTGACCGTGCTCTAGTTCCTTTATAGCCTAATGTTAGCCGCCTTTAGCTTAGCGGTGGTGACGTGAAGTCATGTGACCGTGCTGTATTTCCTTTATAGCCTAATGTTAGCTTTTTACTTCAAAAATCATAAAGTGGTGTTAATACTTGGAGATGATCCTGCTGAACAAAACGTATAAGTATCATAAACGTGTGTTTGCTAGTGGAGTTAAGTTTCTGCAATAACCCAAAATCACATGGAGAAATCCAATTGAACCAGGGAGATGATGGTTAGTGCTAGATCGTATACCTCCTGGGTTTTAGGCGGCGGAAGTGATGTAATCGTGGATGAGAAGTCGGCAACTTTTGCAGCAACTGACAGCACATCTGGTAGTAAAAGTAGACACATTTAATTTAGTTTTGCATGGGCTCTTTGCGACTCTGGAGTCCTGCAGGAAACCGGAGGACAGTGAACAGGAGTGAGAGGGAGCACACTCCTAAAAAATCTCCCACCTTTTTTTAAATAAACCTCGTACTGTGTGTGTCACTGTAATCCGAAATCAAACGTGGCTTTCTGAGTGTTAAATCCCATCTGTGCTTTTCTTCTTGTGAGATGTCATTTTTTTTAATATTGGTAATAGCCTGCTGTCCTCCAAAGTTAGGAATTCTCAAAATATTATATTTATGATATTTTTGTGGGAAAATTATGTATTCATGCTCGTCTCTTGTCCTGGGTGGCAGGTTACGTCACTTCCGCCTAAAACCCAGGAGGTATACGATCTAGCACTAACCGGGAGATGATGCCTTCAGGGTCCAACAGAAAAATACAAAATCGCTGCATCCCTCTATTGTCTCAGGGTCAGTACGTCATGCGAGGAAAAAGTTTAAAAACAGGCAAAAGGTCTGGCAAGGCGCATTGTTGTTAGAAATGGTTATTCCACTTTAGCCTGATGTTAGCTTCACACTCAGCTCCTGAATCACTCCTACAGCCTCCTCGCCTGATCGCTCCTCTTAATGAATTATGAGGATTGACTCGCGATGCAGCTTCCAAATCCTCGTTTAATTGAAACACGATGCCGGACTGAGGGGCACGAGAGGCGATACATTGGAGCATCCCCTCAGTAATCAAAGCACCATCTGTTGCAGTCAAACGGCTGCTGTCCAGTGACCAGGCTGAATATCCAGAGCGTTTATGAAGGAATACAAACAGAGAGGATCTAGGACTGAGTCATCAAACACTGAAAAGTATTGATCAGGAAAAAGTTATTAAAGTATAAGGAGTAACGCCAAAGAAAACTCAACAATATTAAAGATTCAATTCAATATTTAAAAGGCAAATCTTTACATTTCATAAGCTGGAGATGTGATTTGATTAACACACACAAAGAAAACATGATAAGCAAAATGCTGCTAATAAATATCCAGCATCATAAGTACAGTACTTGAGTAAATGTACTTAGTTACTTTCCACAACCATATGTGAATGAGCTGCAGCTCTATCTGTTAGCTGTTAGAAGCTAACGCTAGCAGCTAACCCTAGCATTAGCGGCTAACCCCCCCCCCCCCTGTGCTTCCTCTAATGAGCCTCCGTGCTGTAAATGCCAGCTCTGACATGTGGGAGCAGGCGGGGTGACGGTGTGATCTCTGAAGTAGTGCTGCAAATGTCAGACTGCTCATCTCAACAGGACACACACACACACACACACACACACACACACACACACACACACACACACACACACACACACACACACACACACACACACACACACACACACACACACACACACACACACACACACACACACACACACACACACACACACACACACACACACACACACACACACACACACACACACACACACACACACACGACAAAGGCAGAGATAGGTTAATGATGTTAACACATGTGAGATAATGCACAGGTCTGTTTCACATTCAGATATACTGTACATATATTTATAGTACATTTCAAAATATTTGATTGGACATTTCTTTAACCTGTTCCACTCTGAGCCTGTTTTTCAGGTCTCAGGCTCGAAAATGACATTCCCAGAACAAATGACCATATCTTCCCTTCTAAAAGGGTTAAATTAATAATCTTTTCTCAAAGTAATGATAAACCTGTGAGTTGGATGTAGAAGTGTCAGAATCAATATAAATGTTTTTTATTTTAAAGAAAATTCAGATTTTACATAGTAAAAAACTGTAAATTATAGTGTCTGTCCAAAAATTATTTTTTACAGATAGTGAAAACTACCCTTGGATGATGGGTTAGTAGACTAAAAGCTTTAGGAATCCAAAGTACAACATATAATAAGTACCCTGTATCAAGATTGATGCAAAACAAGTGAAATTTGACCTTTTTAGAGAGGTTTAGCCAAAAACTGGGCCATCTGGGGTCATTTGGGTGGATTTGACCTATCTCTGGCCCCCCTTGCTCGATCTGGTTGGTTGACATACCCTTGTGACCGTTAGAGCCAATAGAATCGAAGGAGGAGACTCACATAGACACACTTTGTAAAGAAAAAATGTTGCCGCTTCGCGTGTGGAAAGCGAAACTAAACTGGAGGAATGTCTCCTTCTGGAGTTTGGAAACTAAAACGCAGTTGTATTGCTTATGGATTATCAGAAATAATTTCAAAGAAGGCACAGACACATAGGATGAACCTATGGATTAACTGCAGCATCGTTTTTTTATCGTTTTAATGCCATTGAAGACCACTTTTGACCAAGGTAAGCCATATTTACTGTTTAGCTTCTTAGCTCCACATGTGATGATGTACGCTTTCGTTTAGAGCGTCGCGAATGTTTATCACTGAGTGTTGAGGTGGGCACCGGTAGATTCAGTGTCTCCAGGACACCAAAAAAGAGTGTTTGGTTGTGCATCTAGGATAAGTAATAAGGGAGTTCTGAGTGAGTTTATGTGCCTTTGTAGGTTACGTTTTTTCGTCGAGGCTAATTCAGAGGCTGAGTGCTAGCATTGTGGGTTTTTTTTGAAAAAAAAAATTAAAAAGATCAGTTAGCTGAGTTTCTTCCCGTTACATGGATATAACACATTCATAGTTTTATTCAATATTAAGATTCCTTAGACGTTGTTTCCTGCAAATGACGCGTTTATCCGCCCGGTACCGGGGGGAAGGCGTGAAACAGGTTAAGGGCTTCTCTGTTTTCAAGTATTATAAACATGATGTCATTTTTTAAATTAGGATAGTGTACATATTTTACAATTGTTTTCGGATTTAATTATATATTGGTTTCATATTTATTTTTTGATTCTGTATAATGAACATGTTTTATCATGTTTTAATTGAGGTATAATGTGCATACTTTAAATATTTTACTAGTATTTTCCTTCTATACAGCTTGTTGATAGTGTTATATACAGTATCTTATAATACAAATATATATCATATATAGTTTAAAAGCAAATGTTATCTTTAAACTTTTTTTATTGAGGAATATTTTACTTGGAATTTGGAATTTTTTGGATGATATTGCTAATTCAGATATAATTTAATATTTTTATTGTATATTTTCTTTGCATAGGTTATTTTAAATGTAGATTGATTACAAATAGTTTAAAGCTTATTGTTGGTTGCAGCTTCTTTTTCAATTAAATACTATTTTTATAAAATGTACTAAGTATTTATTCACATTTTCTTTTAAAGAGCTTTTTTTTAAAAATATAGATATATTGTTAATATCTTTTTAAAGCATTTTTTACATTTTAATTACATTTTCCATCTATGTAGCACTTTTTCTTTATTCAGATTTCCTACAAATACTTGTAAAGCATGTCTTCTGATTTGTATAGTATATTCCTTTAGCTCTATAAAGCCTATCTCAAAGCACAGAACAGAACCACATCACTTGGTGTGTTACTAGACGCAGCAGTCGAGTGTGAAAGCCTTCAAGTATCAGACACAAAGTGCATCACTGGAGGATAAAGACTTGTATTTATATGGAAATGATCTGCATGTTTCCTCTAAAAGGCTCCATGTGTAACACTGAACAAGCGAAATGTAAATGTGTCTTGTTTGGTGAACAGAGGATTCATTCATATGTAAAAAAGAAACTCAAAAGAATCCGCTGCGCGAAGTTTGGGAGAAAACAGAAGAAAGTAAACCTGCAGCACGATATGCCAAACAAAATGAGGTTTCTAGAAACTGTGACCATCATGTGGAAACACACACCTGATACAAATCATGCATGTTTATGTTTCACCTGAATATAAAGAGCTTTGAATATAGATTAAGAGACCACGGGAAAAAATGAAGTTTCAGGATAAAATAAGAAGGAATGAGGGTCACCAAATATTCAGATATCATGAAAATGTGTAATAGTTTTTTGCTGTGTATTCATTTTGAACCACTTTCTATCTTAGCTCATATTTGAATTGTGTTTTCCTTCTATGCAGCTTTATTATTAAAATGTATAATACATATGTTGTAGAATGTACCCTATGTTTGTTGCATGTTTATGCTATACAGCTTGTATAGTTATTTCAGATGTATTGCACAGATGTCCTTGTGTCTTGTAGTTCAGTTATGCTGCTTCTCAGTCATTCAAAAACATTCCATTAAATAGTAAAAGCAAGTAAACTCTTTATTTCGCAGAGGTTTCCTAATTATTTTTTGGAGATGAATGAATGTTAAGATGCTGGTTACACTTCATTGTGTGAAAAATGAGCAAGCCATTCGCAGCCTATTGCCATGACAACAGGGCTTTAGCATCTCCTAAAATAAGACGAAGAGGCGAGGAAGATTAGAGAAAGCTGCAGGGAAACCCCCCAAAACAGAGACAGACCCGGCACTAAATAAAGTCAGCAGACGGAGGAAAAAACGAGCTCCGAAACAAAAGAGAGCAGAGCAGGAAATACATAATATATGAAATTCAGCTGAGAGGCAAACAGGGGCATCTGCTGCCTCCATCCCAACATCCACAACTAATTAAAACACAACAGGATGGTTATCAGACGGGGAGGAACGTGACGGGGAGGAACGTGACGTGAAAACATATTTTTCTTTCAATTGCCAACTTTTTTAAAAGGAGAAACACCTCTGCTGAACAAAGGACATACAAAGTATCACACACACACACGCACACGCACACGCACTTACACACACACACACACACAGGAAGCTGGCGTTCAGCACTGTGACTCAGCCGGCCCCATTAAGCTGCATCCAGCTGTTTGTTAATGTGCAGGTGGGCAGAGACCTGGTGACAGTAATAAGAACAAAGAGCAGGACGGACGGACGGACGGACGGACGGACGGACACATGGACACACGGACACACACACACACACACACACACACACACACACACACACACACACACACACACACACACACACACACACACACACACACACACACACACACACACACACACACACACACACACACACACACACACACACACACACACACACACACACACACACACACACACACCAAATCACACTTACCTTCATAAGCACAGACTCGCTGAGCTTTTCTCTGTTGACAATTTTTACAGCGACTTTCTGACACGTCACACAGTGGATGCCGAGCTTCACCAGACCTGAAACACAGAATAAAATGTACTTACAGTAATATCAAATCATTTCAAGGGATCAAAATGTCTCAACAAGCACAACAACCCTTGATTAGACAGAAGTCATCATGGAGCACCAGAAAGCGAATCCAACGCAGGGAATGTCCAAAATAAAATATTGTGTGCATCTTGTGTCAACGAGAAACTTCCAACAGTACAAAGAACAATAGTTTATATCTCTGTACTTGACCTGTGGCTTTCCCTGGTAAGAACATTCCTTTCTTTGTTGGGCGGCAAAAAGGGTCGATGGTTGCCCCCTCTCTTAATTAAATAGGTAAATCAACCTCTGCCCAAATCACCCTAAAGCGACCTTTTAAAAATAAAAGCATTAAAAACTACGATCTAATAAAGTTAGACTGAAACACTCTTCTGTGCACCAGTCTATCCTAAATGAAATATGACGTTAAATCCTAGATCGAATGTGTGTTTAATGGTCTCAAACATATTGTCTGTTTCCTTGTTTCTTGTCTTTCATATTTGTCCTTGTGTATGTTGCAAATGGAGCTGCTGCTGCAAGAAAGTAAATAAAGTATTATCTGTCTATCTGTTTTGTCCCCATACTGTCTGTTAAAGCGTGATATATAGACACTATCGTCAAAACAAATGAAAATACACCTGTATGTTGTTCTTATGGTAAAGATTATTATCTGCTACTCTTCAAATCTGTATTTTCTTTGTCAGTTTTCAAACCAGGTGGATAAAAATGCACACGTTTTGCATTCTGCTTCACCCGAGTCTTCCTTTCATTACGTACTTCTGAGAACTCTCCACGACAGAAATGTCAACACACTCCACTTTTATCTTAGTAAAGCCACAATGACTCCATCCGTCTCCATCAAAAGCCCCGACACCAGGGAGAGGCTTTCCCTTTGTACTGAAGGTCTGCGGCTGGAAATGCCACTGCGCATACTGTATGCACCTCTTCATTACTTTGAGATGCATGTATATTCCACAGGAGATGAGCGGCTGACTGTTTGAAGGGTGATTTCCCTGTGGGGTGTCCAGAGGGAACATCTATAAGCAGCGCGGGGGGGCAATATGGCCACCTGGGGGCTCTTTAATGTCTCCGAAATGGATCCAAAGAGCATCCTGGGCGACATTCACTGAGTCTCATTGATCTTGTAGTGAAAACAAAACACGAGGATGCATAGACAACCACAACTTCCTGTGTGTGTTTGACCCCTTAAGTTACATCTCCAAAGGTAAGCTACATCAAGCTCTGAGATCATTTAAAGCACAAACATACGGGAGGGTTCAGGAATAACATGCAAGAGATAGAAAGAAAGGCGCGTATATCGTTAGTGATAAATACTGTGTGTTAAAGTCCACTTTCTGAACACAGCGCCTCAGTCCGAACACACAGCTGAGGATTTTTTATTCCAGTATAAAAACCATAACAGCACTTTGTGTTTGACATTTATCGCTTCCCGGTTATTAACATCATTATGTAGCTCAGAACCGGGCTCTTAAGTAATAATCCCTGACATTTTCACATCAAGAACCATCACTTTAGTTCTCTCTGCCTCGGTTATCATAAAATAAACGAGTACAGGAAACATCTTATATTTTCTGTTTGAAACATCTTTCTATTTGTAGTCATTGTTTTACACATCTGACAGGCAAAAGCAACATATGGAAATATATGGTTATTGAAACAGTTACAGTGCAGTGGGAGATATAAATATTTCAATTAAAAGCAGGCAGAAAAGTCTTCAGCCTGGATTTAAAAACAGTAAGAGTTGCAGCGAACCTGCAGGATTCTGGGAGTTTGGTCCAGATATTTGGATAAGGGATGATTTGTTTGTGTAGCTTCTGGATCGATTTTAAATATTGATGCATCGTGTGCTCTTGTGTTGCAAGGTGAGTTCCTTATGCATGAACAATGAAGTTAAATGTAATGAAATGAAGCAGAAAAAGTGTGTTTACCATCCTTACGACAGGTATGGATTCATGTGAGGCTTGTTAATGTTTTCTAGTTGTTAATGCATGTGTCCTACATAGCTGCAACAATATTTTAAATATATGTTTTGTATCAATCAACACATGCTTGAATTAAAATGTCAAAAGTCCAGAATATTCGATTTACAATCAAATCATAAAAGGGGAGCTTGCTATTCAACTCCTTTATTTAATCTATTGTGGTTTCCCTGGAAATGAATAATTACATTTAAAAAAAAAAAAGGGAACCAAACAATTGTTTATCAACTGGTCATCAAGTGTCTTTTCAAGCACAAAGCAAAGCATTTACATCCACTATGAGAGCGGCTCTGGAACAAAGGACTGCAGGGAAACGAGGGTCGTTAACCTGAGCAGCGAACCCTCTCCTGCTGAACAAAGAAATAAATGCCACCTGCAAAACAACAACTCCCACCACACTGAGGCACTGATGGAGACAAACATCTGCAGGAAATCTTTCAGCAGGCAAATTAAACTCCTAAAATAAATATCCACTCTAAGCCGAACCCAGCTGCTGGTATTTGTGCTGTAGATGAAGTGGGAAATGATTGACAATGCAGTTAAAAACTAGCAGATAAGAAGACAGAAATGTAGGGAGCAGGATCTGGTGGAGACCAAAACTGAGCTCAAAGAAAAGTACGACCACCACACTGTTCCACGCGTAGATACACAAATCAGAAGGGAAATTAAACCAACATCGAAGAGGAACAGAACTGATTCAAGAACTGAGTTTCATTGACTTCGAGGAGCGTTGATCTGTTCTCTCCTTTTGACTGAATGTCATCGATAATCTTCAGGACGCGTCTATCGTTTTTCCAACCCAGTTTAAATTTAACCAAGCCTAATCCGCATTAACATAGCAAGAGAACGCCCCCGTGTTAACAACGCTGAAGTAATATCACGTCTACTTTGGACTGCTTTGGAAAAAACGATATGGGTTGTTGATCAGTCAGTGAAAAATCTTACAGCGGTCTGCAGCAGGAGGAATCGTTGTTATCCTCTGACAGTGTTGAAGAGTACAGAAGTATATAATACTCAAATATTGTTCACAGATTAAGTTCGTGCATGAGGATGTTTGTGGTCCAGCAGGAGTTAAAACAACTGCACCTCGACATCTGGGAATCTGTTATTCTGAAAGAGACAGCTGCTTTCCTCTCTGTCCTTCAGCTCTCCAACAATGACATGCCAAACTTTGACAACTGATACTGTAGGGAACAGCCGGCTGAAGTTTCCAGAAAACTTCCAGAAAAAGCCCAAACTTTCTGCAGTGATGTGACAAGTGACTGGAGATACATGTGTCTAATTTAATGTCAGTGATGGGAAACGTTTCCTCCGATATTCCGTTGATAAAACTAAAGGAATATACCGAGCAGATTCCGGTAAACTATGTACAGTAAACCCGTCAATTATTATTAATGTTGACAGGTTGTTTGTTGACCTTTAGGGGTAACACATTTCCTCACATCTCCAGCCAGAAATGTGACGACAGTGTTCTCAATGTCAGGTTAGCTTCCAATCACTCATCAAGTACATTTACAAATAATGAACAGATCGTATTTCATGAATAGCAGCATCGTATATTGTTTCTGCATCAACATGGCAACGTCGGTAAATTATCTCTTACAAGTCATGCTACAACTTTTGACACTAAAGGCAAACCTCCAAGGTTCTAGGGCTTCGCAATAACTCAAAATGTTGTCAAAATATTAGGAAGCAGAATATCGGTTAAAGGCTAAATGTGTGTTTAATAGCATTATGAATGAAGTATTTTGGAGCCATAGTGATATCCCGACCTACAAAGTACTACTCATACTAAATTGTATTCTGGAGAATTTGCAAAACATCTCTTTTGGTAAAGAATCTTTTTAAAGATGCAACCATTATCATTTTAATGAATTTTTCTCAAAGATATTGAGAATATGATGCAAAAATCATTGCATATCGCAATCAGTCAAATGATTCGCAATCCCTTTTTTTTGCCCAAATCATGCGGCCCTATATTGTTCTTATTTTCTATTGACTAAAAGAGTGTCTCCAATCAAATACAGTAGCTAAAATGAACAGTGTATTTTTCACACCAGATGTAGAAGATCTGCACCAAGCCTGAACCTGATGACTTGCTAACATGACAAAGTGTCTCAAATAGAGAGTAGCACAACACTTGTTTCCCTTCATAGACATAACAATGAGGAATCGTGGAGAAATGTGCACATATATATTAATAAGGGCTGGTGTGTGATGATGGAACAATGTCTATAGATATTATGTTCTATCTTCTGTCTATGTCCTTGTTATATACATAAGGTATTTTCAAAATAAACGTTGTCTTTAAAAGTGGGTTCAGACAATCCCAAACTATCCTCAACAAAGAGCAACATCTGGACAGAGAGAGGAGCAGCAGAGGGATCTGTCAGTCAGCGAGAAATCTGCATCTCCGACAAGATTGATGATCCTAATGCATCGCACATTTAAATCAGCCACAACAACTGAGAGCTGGCCCATTTACATGCCATTACAGAGAGGGACATCTTTGTATTATTCATCTGCACTCAAACTGTGAAACACTCATTTCAGGATTATCATTAGATTAGTTTCTGGTTTGCATCAATATCTTATTAATAGTTTTACATCGAATTTAAACATTGTAATATAAACATTGTTACATATTTGTGTTGTTATATATCAAAGTACAATGTGCACACTTCTACATATTTTATTTTATCTTCTTATTGCACATTTTTACTTTAACTTCTTATGTGTACATCAATATAGTTGTTCTATTATAATTAAACTTTTAGTGAACAATTGTACTTCTTATATTTCTATATAAAGAATATATATTCTTTATATTCTGTAGTTTTTATTTTATTGGACATTTTAACTTTAACTTCTTGTGTTTTTATCAATATTACTATTTTATTTTATTCCTAAAGTGTAAATGTCACCCAATTTCCCCTGGGATAAATAAATACAAAAGACAGTGTTGACGCTCACACACACACAGTCAATAA